TGTAGCATTTATTGCCACCTTGTGGGGAAGAAGCTTACAAGCAGATTTTTTGGCATTCAACATACCTACTTTTCCACTGTCTCCCGGCACAAAAAAAATCTCCCATGAAAGATGCCATATGTTCTAGCACAGGTTGGACCATGCTTTTGTTTCCCTGATTTGTGATGGGATTTTTCCAGGTTTTAAAATATTCTTGGATAACCCTGTTTTGAAAGTACAGTTTTTAAAAGCCACATGATCAGAACACCTCCAAGAAGACAGTAGCCCAATGGGAAGGACAGAGTTCTGAAACAGAGGAAATCTGGATCTAAGGCATTCTGCTTTACTGTTTTCCTCTTGTGTAATTTGAATGCTCTACCATACCACTGTTGGCTCTTGTGGAGTGTTCTCAGTTGTAGTGGAGCTGTTCTTCAGTTCCTCTCCAGCCAGATGGGCCATACATGTCAGCCCCCCACAGTCTGTTCTGTGCAGTTCATTTTCCTTTGTGTAACTGGCATCAATTCTACCAACACAAGAGAAGCTGTCCCTGAGCAACCACCTAACTCTGGTATTTCTGCAGACTCTTGAGAGCAGAACTTGAAATTGTATTTTTGACTTCCAGTACTTTGCAATCTGTTTTCTCCCTTCTTTTTTTCCCCCTTTTTCTCTCTTTGCTAAAACCCTTTATTCAAATTTTAACTGAAGAACATGTTTCAAGAACAACTTGAAACTAAAGTTTGATCATACTGCTAATAAAACATGATAAATAGTTTGTGACTACCTGTTACGCCAGCTTTTTCTTAATCGTAACTTTGCCACCATGCTTAAGGGGAAAAAAAAAAAATCCTGAGGACTTGTGGGATTTAAGGACTCTGTTTACATTCCTGTTGAAAAATAAGCATGTGAAGGTTTTGGGGTTTTAGTTTTGTTCTTTATTTCCAAACCTCAGCATTACTCTTGCACGAATACCAGATGCTTCATCCAGGTACCAGTAGATATTTCCCATAAAAAGATAAGTGCAGAACAGCAAATCAGTCAAGGAAGATCTGAGAAAGTGATTGTTCTTTGATGCTCTACAAAAAATTCAGGCATGTTATTAAGGATATCATGGGTTTGTTGCTTCTTATGATTGGGTCATTGTTAGGGAAGGAGAGATTTTCATTTCTGTTAGAACTGTGAAAATCTAAAACCACTCAATCTGTATTAGCAAAAATTGTATACTGGTGTTTAAGTGCAAATACAGTTCAAAGCTTAAAAATAATGGCTACATCTGCAGGTGTCACTGGCATAACCCACCAGCTTTTCCATCTCTTTCAGACAATGACTCTTGAGGCCCATCGGCGAGTAGTTGTGGAATACATCAGAGCAATCATGCTAAAACGTATATCTTTCAAGAATGCAGAAGAGAGAAAAGAAGGTGCAGAAAGAATGATTAAAGAAGCAGAACAGTTCAGATTTTTGTTTAAGAAGCTTGCAGCTGTAAGTATTTGCTTTGAGTAGTGCTGTTGTCCTGGTAATTTGCAATAACCGCACATGTTTATTACTTGGGGGAAATGGCTAGAGTTAAATCTCCATGTCTCCAACATGTTGAGCGACTTGGGAATATCAAAGATGCCACCTGAGGGCATAGATGCAGATTCTGAAAAGACAGGCCAGCTGCTAAAATTCCTGAGCACCAGTTTCTACTGCTTTGTGTTTATACAGCTCTCTGCAGCTGAGTATTTGAATGGCCTCCAAGAGATAGATACCTGATATTCATAGTAGTAAGTGAAAGAAAAAAGCAATAAAAAAAAAAAAAAAAAAAAAAAAAAATCTGTCTTTTCTTTTCCTGGCCAGAAGAAAGGCTGATCTGGCATCAAGCAGATGCCATTACTTATTACCTAAGGAGCATGCAGTGCATTCATTTGGATCAATGAGTATGTTGACCCCATTTAAAGTCCAGTAGAAATATAAAAAGACAGGCTAAAAAAAGGTATTTGAAAATCAACGTACAAGACAGGTGTAAAAGTTTTAACTGCATAAGGAACGGGGATCTTCAAAAAAGCTCTTAGGGCCAACAGATGACAGATTGCAAAAACAATGCACAGAAAGATAAAACCTGAAAAACTGGGATAGTTGATGGAACAGGTTGTAGAATAAAGGAAACAAATCATACCTGATTGGCAGAACCAGGTGACCTTGAATTAAGAATAGTGAAATAGTCCCGAGTTTAAATAGATACAGTTCAATCAACCAGTTGCTGAAAGCTGCTTTGGTGGCCAGATGACTTGAAGGAATGTAACAGAGGGCCAATTTTGAATAAATGTTTCAGAAGAGATCTGGCTTTCATGTCAGTTATTCCTAATATTTATGCTCATAATTACCCAAAGTTGAAGACTGGAATGTATCACCATGTGGATAAATACAACATATTGTTTGTAGGACACTACTTTTTTCACTGATATTCTCAGCGTTGGTCTCTGAATGGAGAACAGGATTATGGTGGCAATTCACAAATATTTGGTTTTTTAAATGTCTGAAAATTCAGCTTTTTGGGAAATTCAAGGACATTGTCAGACAAAATATTAATTAAAGGATTATTTGTAGATTTGAGGAATACTGCTATTGTTTTTAATAATTTTTGTTTACTTTTGCAGGGCTCTGGAGAGGACACTGAAGGACTCTGTGACATCATTGAAGCCATTGCAGAGGTTATCAAGCTGACTGATCCTTCACTACTCTATCTGGAAGTTTCAACTTTAGTCAGTAAATACCCAGATATCAGGTAATTCTCTTTGCCCTCAGATTTGATATATAGATAGATAACAACATAATTTCCTTGGGGTTTGGGCACATTCTGAAATTTAAAGCAGTCTGTAAATGTGTTCATATTTTTCATATTTTAGAATGTAACCACTTGTAGTAATTAATAATAAAAGGAAGGTAATACTAATGTACAATGTATGTGAGCTGGACTAGAAGTTACAACTACTTAAGTACTTCAGAGGAATATTAAAAATACTTCAGCTCTGTGTGTTAGGTGGATAAAATAGGTTTTAGAGTCCTAAAAGCAGCCAAAATGGTGCTTTATATTGAGCAGGAAAAACCACTTCTGAGTGAGTAGAGATCTCATTAAGAATAAAAAAGTACCTGAAACTGAGTGAAAGGATTGCCAATTAAGTGCTGTCTTTGACAAAATCTTTCTTGTGCAAAGCCTCCTAATGCCAGTTTTACCCTTTTTATTTGGCAGGGATGACCACATTGCAGCTTTGCTGACAGTGAGAGGTGATGCCAGCAGAGATATGAAGCAGACTATCATTGAAACCTTGGATCAAGGTCCAAGCCAACCAAATCCAAACTATGTGCCAATTTTTAAAGAAATTACAGTTCCTACTCTCACTGTGCCAAAACTTCTGAAGTAATTGACAACTCTGTGTTTGTGTGTCATTACTGCTCTGGGATCAACGGGTTTGAAATATTTGTGGGCAAATTTGGCAATGCTATTTTGAGTGAAGTTCCGTATACATTGATATTTGCTAGGCATATTACTTTCTGAAGACTTGGGCATGAGGAAATGCAAGATACCTGAAAGAAGGATTAAAGGTCATGTTTGAAGAACAAAGCTTTTAATGGCATGGTTGTTTTTGGTTTGTTTTTTTTTTTACTGACCCGTTTGTCACAGCTGGTTTTGCTGTCAGCAAATACATTTTTCTTGTGGAATATGTTTGCACAGTGCACTGCAATGCTATATAAAGATATTTATACCAAAACCTGCAGAGCTGTATTAGTGCTGGATATACTAACATACATCACTTACAATACCTAAGCAGACTGCTTTAGAACTGTCTTTATATGGCACTGCATTCAGTGTTAATGTCAATCCACTTTCACATTATATTTTGTGTATGTACTTACTTTGGTGTAAAATAGTTTATTGCAGAAAACTTAATTATGAAATCAGTTTGCTGACTTAAAAGACTGATTGAAATTGCTACAGTGCAATTTGATTATAGGTTGAATGAATAAATAAATAAAGACAAGGTACAATTTTTTTTTCACTGATTCACTAAAAACAGCACATAAAGCACACCAGTTCAATAAAATGTTAAACCATTCCTATGTTCAGCTATGATTCTTTGCATCCTTGTAGATTTACAGAGCATGTAAATCTTTTTTGTTGTTCTAAGTGTGAATAAAAATTGGATTTAATAGTTTTCTGAAAACACAAGATACTGGGTTTTATTTCTACAGTATTTTCAGATTAATTATAAAATAGTACTAGACAATTGTGGATTCAAAATTCCTTGATGGAGGACACATTTAAGGCATTATCTCTTAGTACCTGACCGGAGCTGTCAGGAGTAAGCACGAGGAAGACACATACCTACATTGTTTTAATTCAACTTTCTGGAGTTTGTGTACCTAACGCCTTTGGCCTGTGGCCACCCAGGCCTTGTGCCATTCCAGCCCTGTCCCCAGCTCCTCTGTAACCCAGAAGAGGCATGTACAGGGTCAGCAGCTTGGATAGAGGATGGATCTGAGATTGTGACTTTCTGCAGTGACAGGGACAGTGTGTCCCGAGATGGTTCAGTAGAGCTTCATCTTGGTATCTCTGTGCTTGAGGGATTTTAGCACAGGAGGTTCTTAGGGACCCTGAACTCTGCATAGCAGTTGTAGGTGCACGGAGAGGAATTTGACTGGTTTTCAGAGGGTTGTGTTGGGCCCTCAGTGAAGAATTCAGTTAAAGATCAGTGAGGTGGTGCTAATTTGGCTTGTACTCCAATTCCATCCTCTCCCTGAAATTCTTTCCCGGTGTGCTTTAATCCTCACTTTGCGTAAGGGAATCTCTTCAGCGGGCTTTGTTACCCTCTGTATCCCTTCTTTCTCAGCGATGGTGCAGAGGCCTCTCTTGGATGTTAAACTCGGGCTCCATCCCCTCCAGGACACGCCGGCTCCCCTGAGTGGGGACCCCGGGCACAGGGACGGCTCCGGCCCTAGCCGGAACCTCCGTGAAGGACAGGAGCGGCTCCCGGCAGGGCGAGGCCGCCACCCCCGGGAGCGGATCCCCGCGCGCCGCAGCCCCGCTCCGGTGCCTCCTGGCGGGAGTCTCCGCCCCGTGCCGCGGGAACGGGGCGGGTGCGCGCCGGCTCCGCTCGGGCTCGGGCCCCGCTCGGGATCCGGCCCCGCTCGGGCTCGGGCTCCGCTCGGGATCGGTCTCCACTCGGGATCGGGCCTCGCTCGGGATCGGGCCCCGCTCGGGATCGGGCCTAGCTCGGGATCGGGCTCCGCTCGGGATTCCCCTCCGCGCGGCGGGGCGGGGCGCGCGCCCCCGCGCTGCCGTGACGTCACAGGCGCGCTGCGTCAGGGCGGCCGGTGTCGGCGGCGCGCGGGGCGGGCGCGCGCGGGGGCCATGGCGGCGGGGTACCAGCACCGGCCCGGCGGCGGCGGCGCCCCCCTGCCCGACCCCTCCTTCCTGTGGAACGTCTTCCAGAGGTGAGCCCCGGCGGGCAGCGGGCAGCGGGAGGTGCCGGAAGCGGGTCGGTGCTGCGGGAGTCCGGCCCGGCGCGGCCAGCGCGGGGTTTGGCTGCCGGGGCGCCTGGCAGCGCTGTGAGCATCGCGGTGGTTTCCCCGTGGGAGGATCTGTACGAAAGAGCTGGGGAGGAATAAATGTGGCCGCATTTTGTAACGAGGGTAAAGGGAATTGGTGGGAGCGAGACGGTAACCTTGAAAGCGCTGAAGTAATTTTTAACCTGAGGTTGCAGAAGTTAAGTCCGGAGGATCAATGTAGCAGTACAGGGAATTCCTAAAAAGGAATCTGATTAATGTTAATGAAAGACTTTAAAGCTACCAGCCAGAAAAGGTAGCTGCAGTAGGGGACATTTAGGTTGGATATCGGAAAGAACTTCTCAGCAAAGGTGATTGGACATTGGAATGGGCTGCCCAGGGAGGTACTGGAGTCACGGTCCCTGGAGGTGTTTAAGGAAAGACGGGGCGCGGCACTCAGTGCCGTGGTCTGGGTGACACGGGGGTGTTGGGTCATAGGTTGGACTTGATGATCTCAGAGGTCTTTTCCAACCGGAAGGATTCTGCGAAGTATACTATTGAATTCTCCTGGATCAGAGGGACCTGCAAAGGAGATAGCAAGCTTGTGCTAAAGAAACACACTGGCAAGATCCTATCAGTGAAGAAGCCAAAGGAGATTTCCCAATTATGTCTTGTTGAGGAAACTCGGGAGTGCCTACATTGGATCAATTTTTATGGGAGATGAGTCAAGACAGCTCCTCTGACACAAGCAGCAGCAAGAAGAGGTTTTAAGCAGTAGACAAACAGTAGTAAGTTTCTAAAACTGGCTGATATGTACGGAGTGACTCAGGAATGCAGCAGCTTACCTACCCAGCCTGCTGTAAAACAACTTCCTCTGAGGACTCGGGAGAGGCAGGCATGAAGCCATTTCTCTTTTTAAAGGGTCCAGAAATAAACAGATCAACAATCTGACTTCTGCACCAGGAAAATCAGTAAAAATAATTTTAAATAATGTAGTTAGTCGGGAGAGTTGCATGGCTTTTGTTGAAAATGTTCCTTCTGGCAGACTGCTATATAAATCCTGGACTATGTTTGGTAAGGATTGGATTTGGATATGATGGCTAGAATTGGAGCAATTCATATAATCTGTACGCTTTTCAAAAATACTCCCAACACTATCAAAAGGCCCTTGAAGAAATTCAGTAAACATGGAATGAATGAAAACATTCTTCAGTGGATGGAAAACTGACTGAAGGGTGTGTGTGTGGTCATGCACCACACTGACAGATGGAGCTCTCCTGGGATCTTTATGTAATCTGTTTGGGAGCAGCTGGGGGAAAGAGAGTAGGTTTAGATTGGATGGTGGGAGGAAGTTTTGTTTTGTGGGCGTGGTGAGGCACTGGAACAGGTTGCCCAGAGAAGCTGTGGCTGCCCCATCCCTGAAAGTTTTTAAGGCCAGGCTGCATGGAGCTCTGAGCCATCTCGTGTAATGGAACATGTTCCTGCCCACAGCCAAGGACTGGAACTTGAGGATATTTTAGGTCCTTTTCAACCCAAACCATTCTGTGGTTCTATGATTCTGTGAAAAAAGAGTGAATAGTCAGGTGAAGTTTGCTGATTCCTGCAGTAACTGAGGCCTGTGAATGTTTGCAGGAGCACCTTACAGTCCTGAATGACTGGGCTGTATCAGCCTGTCATGGTCAGATCATGATCCCTGCGTGATACGTGATCCCGATATGTCACGTGGAACCCAGAGCAGAAGTCTGATGTCCGTGAGGAAAACCCATTCTAATTTTCCATAATTTTATTTATAAAAGGAAAGTGCTGACAGATGATGCTCAGGAGAAAGATAAGTAGGTCATAATGCATTTTCATGAAAATACCAGCTTAGCACTTGGTAGCAGCTAATAAAAGGTAAAAAATGTTCACAATACTAAGAAGAGAAACATTATAAAGGGGAATTTGTAATTGAAATCTTTGCAATTTATGCTAGCAATTTTTGTATTGCGTGCAGGTTACATAATTCTTGGAGATGGGGAAGGAAGCAATAGAATGAACTGAAAGTGTTTAGAAAAAGACAGCAAGAACTAAAGGAAAAGAAAATCAGCTTCTGTGCATGGGGATCAGCTGAGCGGGACTCTGGTTGGGGTAGTAAATGAGGGGAAATGAAAACTGTCAGTCCAAGGGGAACATCCTTGTATGAAATGGAGGGAAGTCTCCACCACTTTCAGATACCCTGATAGAGAAGACGTTCTCCTTCTTTATTTGGGCAGAAATTAATTTATTAATTTTGGCATAGAACTTGAATCATTAAGACAATGGACTGTGAAGGCTCAGTGGAAGCTGGAACCTGCCTGTGCTTTTGACTCTGAACCCCTTTGCAGGGCCCTGCAAACCATTGAGCCTTTCAGTAGTTTGGTCACATTAGTGACTTACTCTCCATTGCCAACATGTGAGAGAGCCTGGGTGACAAACCTGTTGTGCCAGTTTGCGAAACAAATAGCTCACTGCTGTCACATTAGGCATTTTGTGGATTTAACCAGCATGTGTGCTCTGCAGTTCTCTTAAACGGACATAAATGAAAATACTTCCTTGTGGAGAGCATGCCCAAACTGTTTCATTGTCAGTGTTTCTGTGTGTCACTTCACTCATAAGTAAATCTTGCAATTTTCTTTGGAGCTTTTATCATGTTCCAGAGACTTTTCAGGAAAATAATAATCTCATCTGGTGAGTAAGAAGCAGAATGTCAAAGTCTTCAGTAAGTGGAACCTGTTAATTTCAGCCATTTAAAACTTACTACCTGGTTTTGTTTTGTTTTGTTTTGTTTTTTTCCTCCAGAGTTGATAAAGACAGGAGTGGAATAATATCTGATAATGAACTTCAGCAGGCATTATCCAATGGTAAGTCTGTAAATGAGCAGTGAGGTAGTTAATTGTAAACTTTATGATAAATTTGTTGCGAGAGTGGTTACTTGATGCTGTGATTCTTTGTATGGAAGGGGGTGGGAAGTGTTCCTGCCACTCATTAATTACTATTTAATCTACAGCAAAAGGCTGGAAAGGGAAAAAAATGAACAATCCTTGTGATTTTTTGTTTGTTTGTTCTAAACTGAGTATCTATTGTAACCATTACTGGTCTGTATTCTGAGGAATGAGGGCGTGCACATCCCTTTTTTTTTTTCCCAGCTCTGCTTCCTAGAAATCATAACCAGTGATTCATATATTCCTTGCTCATCACTACTGAACCTTTGTTTTTTAATGAGAATCAGTGTATAACCTGGGAAAAACTGTTTACAACCAGCCTTTTTAATTGCACATAATTTATTTTTCATACAGCATGTTGCAGGAAATAAAGTATGTCTGGGGTTTTTCTTAACAGAATAGAAAGATGCACTCTAGATCTAGTATTAAAACTTTCTAGTAGTCAGTCCCTTGTTGTAATACTCAAAGAAACTAGGGTATTGTCAAATAACTCATGGAAACAAAATAAAAAATGAATCATTTTTCCAGTAGCCTATTTTTACTTTCCTCCCATGACTCAGGGTAGGTAGGGTTGTACTCTGTGGGTTTTTTTTCTGTTTGGAAATCTGAAAAAGGGCATATTCAGTCTGTTTGTCCACCTTTGAATCCATACAAAGTTCCCCTTCTCCCAAAGTTTATTCCTTTATCCCTCCTGTGCTTTGTGACTGAGAAGGGCTTAAACTGATGTTGTGAGCTGCAGCACACAATAGCTGAAGGGCCCATTTTTGTCAGTAATTGCCTGACTTGAAATAAATGTGTACGGTTCTATTCAGTAAAACTGCAGTCTTGTAACTGAACTAGATGTACTGGAATATTTGTTTAATAATGTATCTGATAAATTAAAAGCAATGTTGTGGCTGCCAGACCTGATCCATAATTTTGAATAAAATCTTTAGCATAAACTAAGTTAAATTAAGTCACCGGTTTCATTTAGATTACAGTGCTGTTTAGAGCTGTGCTAAACTGTCATTTTAAATTTTACCTGCTGTTTTAAATTTTTTATATTTTAAATATTTTTTCATATGAACTGCCATTTTTAATTTTATATACTTTAAATATCTCCTCATATGATTGAATTTAAGGGTAGTAGGCAGTGATGACTATCTGAGCTCTTTTCTTTCCTTATTTACAGTGTAGATTAGCAGTTTCAGTGCTTTGCAGTTATGAAGAATGCCTACCAAGTGTTAGACAAAATATTTACAGAACTGTAAGCTTTCTGCATTCCAAGAGAGTCTAGATCTTGTACAACAAAGTCACTAACAATTCACTATATTATTTTCAAAATATATCCTCTAGTGGATGATTGTGCATGGCCGTCCTGCAATTTAACATGGGATAAAAGAATGTTATGTGTTTATTTCTAAAACATTAAAAAAGTCTGCATGTCTCATTGACATTTGATGTTCAGTGTGATTTTGACAATTTGACATTTTCAGCCTGTGAAGTTTATGCAGATAATAGTGTGCTTACCTAGGAGGGGCTGATCATCACTTTGTCTAACCGTTTGCACAATAAAATCCTTTGCTTCTTGCTTGTTTTCTTCTGTGCTGCTGTGGGACGTTAATACTAGAGTCAGGAGAGGAGAGACAGGGACAGTCTTCACTGTGTATTGGAATAGGATGAAATCAGTACAGTTCTTCACCTCTGGAGTTGCTCAGATTTCATTCTGTGGTGGCTATATGAATCACTTGAATGTTTCAAGATGAAATAAGTTAACTTTCAGACTGCATTTTCAGTTTTTCCTCTTATTCTGTTCAGTGTTAAATACTGGCACCTTATTAATTCCATTATTTCTTTTTTTTTTGAGGAGACACACAGCTCTAAGGTATTGATGTTCTCTGTCTAAATTACTGCTTCAGCATTTTCAGAGCCATTTTTCCTCTTCTCTTTCTCTGCTTAGTTTCTCTTTACATGCATATAGTCACAGGGTTCTCCCTGTAGAGTTACATCACTGCCCGTGACCCAGCAAAGCCAACGTGCTGGATCCCAGCTCGGCCCTTATGCTGGGATTTGCGGTCAGCTGACACATCCCTGGGATCACCTCTGCAGTGCCCTCGGCTCACCAGCTCCTTTGTGGTCTCGCCGATTCCTTGGGTCCCTGCAGGCAACCACAGCCTGTTAATTATGTGCTGCTTCATGCTCTTGGTTCCTTCACAGGCTGGAGAATCCATGGTGAAATTCTAAATGAGGCACAGGATTCCTTTGTTTAAAGCTTAATGCTTCTTAGCACTTGGGAATGCTCTCAACCAAGTGAAAACTGTTTCATAATACTCAAAGAAGTACAGTGCTCCTCCAGATGATTACTGCTCAGGCCCTTGCAAACAGCAAAATTTCTTGGTCTAAAAATACTTATTCAAACTAACACTTAATTGTTTTAGCAGTGGAGTTGGGTTTTTTACTAAACAACTCTAAACTGCAATGTATGGTTATGCCATGTTGGGAACTCTCTGTCAGAAACTAAATGCCCTGGAGTAGTCCTGTAAAAAGGAAATGAGCAGATGGGTTTTTGCTGAGGAACATATATGAGGCCTTGATTGAGTTACAGTTCAGAACACTTCTGCTCCTGTCAGTAGAAAATAGGTACTTGAGTGTAGATCTTGCTTTTTATCCAATACTTCCCAACAGCCTGTGATGAAAAAGTCCTTCTTAGCTCTTCCAAGGTTTGTTAGGTTTTTTTGGTTGCAGCCTTAAAATGCTGGTTTCTGTGTGGTATTTGGAAAGCACTGGTCTGAAGTAGTCTCTGAATGGTGAGACTGCCTTACTTCCAAGCAGCCTTATTTTTTTAATATGCCAGCTCCATGTCACATAGCTCTGAATTCCCTGTTCTTAACTGATTTGTCTGGTTGTTTTTTTACATTTTTTAATAACATTGAGGATTTCTTAATTTTCAGAACTAAGTAATTCTTTCTGTTTCAGGCACGTGGACTCCATTTAATCCAGCAACAGTCAGGTCAATTCTTGGTGAGTGTAGTTGTGTGATGTGACATAGTCCTAAGATTCTGTTTTGTAATCTGTTCAGCTGATTGATTGAGAATGCTCTCAATTACTACACTGGTTTTTTCTCCTCTGAGTGCCCAGCAGTAGTAAGTTAAATTATTTTTCCTTTTGATTACTAGTGGAATGTCCTTTGCATACACACATGTGCACATGTGCACTTGTTGAAGTAGCCTGAGAAAATGTTACTGCATAATTGATTAGATAATAAATGTAATTTATGCATGAAATTATTGTTATCTTAAATTTTCTAAAAAGATATTATATAAATTGTCTTGGGAAGTAGTTTTTCCTATCTTGAATTTATGCCTATGTTTTACTCCAAAAATACCAAACAGAAGCTTCACAATGTTTGAATTATGTTAGTATCTAAACCAATTGCCAGTAATGTGGAAGGTGATGGTGGTGGAACAGAAGGATGAAGATTCAAGCACAATAAATCAAATATTTTCTATCACACAGTTCATAAATCCAAGGACTACATTTTTTGTTTTGTTTTCAGTAAGTGTTCAGCAGCAGTCTGAGTTCCATCACTGGGTGACATGCTTATTGTATAAAGATAACAGTATCAGTAAATCAAATGCAGATGAATATCCCAGCACTCTTGGAAATTATGCAAGACTTTTTAGTGTATCCTTAGAAAAGAACAGTCCACCCCTCTGCCCATTTTGATTCATTACTGGATGATCAATCAAGCCCTCAGTATTTTTAAATTGAAAATAAAAAACTAGGAAAAATAAACATTCTTTGATTTATTCTGGTATTTTTATCTTGCTTTATCATTTTTTCCTTCAGTGGATGACTGCTTGCTTTTTCTCGGCAGAACTTTCCAAATTACCACTTGCATTTTAGCAGTTTCTTTTCCCTCTTCAATACCCTCCACAGAGCACTCTTGCTATCTACTTAAATTCCTGGCAGATCTTGCTGAGGAGTAGTATGACTAAGATTTTATGTGTTTCTTTTTTATTTCAGGCATGTTTGACAGAGAAAACAAAGGGGGTGTGAACTTCAGTGAATTCACAGGAGTCTGGAAATACATCACAGACTGGCAGAATGTCTTTCGAACGTATGACAGAGACAATTCTGGAATGATTGACAAAAATGAACTAAAGCAAGCACTAACAGGTTTTGGTAATTCATTAGTGATTACAGTTTTTATGATGGGGATATGTCATAGAATGAGCTGCTTACTGGTACTGTTGCAGAGCTGTACTGCTCTGACAAATGTGACTAAAAATGAGGCAGGTGAAGGGCAGCTTTCGTTTTAGGTAAAAAGTACCTTTTAATGATGTCCATGCAGGAGGCACATATTTTAAAGCTCTTTCCTTAGAGAAAAGGGAAAACATTCCACACATGTCCTGACACATCCAGTTCCAGTCTCCTCTGTGACATGCTCTGAGTGGATTACCAATGCTTCAGGCAAAGTCTGAACATACAGGGTACTTGATAGAACTTGCCACTTTTTAAAACAAGGCCCGCTGTCCATGATGTGAAAGCATTCTGATGGCTAAGGAACTTTCATTCCAGTCACTTCACCTGTAAAGACTTGAACTGCAGCCCTAAACCATTTCCTCAATCGAACAGTCACCTTAATCTGTAATTATATTTACTGTGACTCTGTATATAATTATTATTGAGCATGGCTTTTATTGCATGCATTTTAGTTTAACAGAGATATTTACAAAAAAAAGTCATTGTAACTCCTTACTGTTTTCTGATTTTGTTACACATGCCTGCTAAACAACCTTGTTCTTTTTATAGAAGGACTGCAGTAATTGAAACCTTCTAAAGTATTTCTCTTTTTCCAAGGTTACCGACTGTCTGATCAATTCTATGATATCCTTATTCGGAAATTTGACAGACAAGGAAAAGGACAAGTTGCTTTTGATGATTTTATTCAGTGCTGTGTTGTTCTACAGGTAAGAAAGGAGATGTACTTTGATGTCAGTTGAAAAAAAATTACCTTTTCTTAAGCTTTTCTAGTTCTCACTTTAACAGTAGATCTGGAACTTGCTTTTATTTATAGTAAGCCTTTTGAACTAAGTATATGCTAAGTGCTAGAAACATCTTTGTGTATTGGTCTTCATTAATAATTCCTTTGGATCTCAAGTAAATTTGATACAATGGGTGAGGGACAAACAAGTGTAAAATAGTATCAATGTTTGACAGTGTCTGTTAAGTTAAATAGACTTCAGAGGTGATCCTGCAGGGGCAATGGTAAAAATACACAAAAAGCCTTCCAGTCTTTCAGTAACACAGAGAGTGAGAAAAAGAGAGAGAACATGGAGGGAAAGCAGTTCCCCTTAAAAGTAGCATCTCTGTTATTTAGACACATCATTTGCATTCATTTGTAATATAAAGCAATTAAGGTTAGTTTTAGACTTGAACTCTGCTGAAAAGGGCTTTGGAGTATCACTCAGCTGATGTAAATGAAACTGTGCTGGCAGTTGTTCTGGTCCTTTTTCTGTAATGCCTGGCATATCTGACAGAGACAGCTAGGATATCAATGGCACATGAAGCATATTTGCCTAGAAGGTGAGATAGGCATAGGATATGCACTGGATTCTGTTTCCAGATAACTCAAACATTGCCTTGTTTTTCCCCCTGCTTTAAAGCCAGTTATAAAAAGTTGTCTGGTCTATAAAGAAGTGCCTAGGTAGCCCTAGGTATTGCATTACTATTGCAGTGAGCTATCTTTATATAATAAAGACTGTAAAATGGTTACAGAGGGGATGAACAGAAAGGGTTCATAAAGCTGTAGAAGCCCAGGTGGTAAGGGGAGGATGTGGCAGTCTGAACCTTCCCCTAGAACAAAAATGTCTATTATTTTCTCTCTCTCCTCCTCAGAGGCTGACCGATGTGTTCCGACGCTACGACACTGATCAGGATGGCTGGATTCAGGTGTCCTATGAGCAGTATCTTTCCATGGTCTTCAGCATCGTATGACACCAACAACCAGGAATCGCACACTGGCATTACACAGACTGGAGTTGCCAAAACATCCCCTACTGAATATTATGTATTGTAATGGATGTAACATCACATTCTTAAATTTTGTATGTTGGTAATCACCATCAGAATCTGTACTTGAGTTGGTTTTTATTTTGTATTATTGTATGATATGACCATGTCTGCTTACTGTAGTACAGAAAGCACAGAATCTAGATTTAACCAGTACAATGTACATTACCTCTTACACATATCCTGCATGGGAAAAATGACTCTTTAGCAATGCCAAATTAAAATAATGCTTGTTAGTTTATATCAGTTGAAAGCCAGAAGTTGCACAACATGTTTTGCATGTGCCTTACTTTTATAAGAGTTAAATGTATTAATTTTTAAATACAGAATTTAAAATTAAGTAAAAATACCAGGTCAACTTTCAGTCTATTTCACTTTTGTACAGCTTTAAGGGGATGGTGATTTTATTTCTGTATCCTCATTTTCTGTGATTCAGGGATCTCTCCACTTGGATGGCCTTTTTTATTTTATAGCTGCCTCCTTTCAGGGTATCCATCCTTAGGATGGCTTCAAATACAATTTCTTCACACCTGTGAAGAAGGTCATACTGTGTCTCCCTTGATAAGTTCACCACAAAAATCAACTCTGACTCTCAATATGCTCCCTTTGGTTAGTTGTCTCATTTGCCATCAGAAGTCTTCCTTTTGGTGCTGAAGCACTTATTTGAAGTGGCCTTGAATTGACAGACATTCTCGTAACATAACCGTACATCTCACCATTTACAGCTAATGAGAGAGAGTGGAAAAAATTAAGACCAGTAATGACTGATTCCTGTCACACACCATCTCTTGCAGTAACTCTGAACAAACAACTTGGAGGAAGCAAAGACAACCAAAAGTCAGAGTTACAATGTTACTTCCAGGTGACCCCGAGATTGGCTCAGATGGTCAGAGAATGGTACAAATTACACCGAGGTACCATGTTCAATCTCTGTATGGTCCATTCACTGAAGAGCTGGACTTAGTGATCCTTGTGGAATCTTTCCAACTCAGATGATTATGTGTCTCACCCGGAGTAGAGTGTCTGGTGTCAGAGTGAAGGCACCAAACTGGCAACTGTTACCAAACCTGTGTCCTATACAGAAGCTGCTACTACTTGTCAAGTGATACTCAGACCGTTAGTGACAATTCAGCAACACTCTGAACACTCTTTTGGTGTCAAGTATGTGGGGCAAAACCAATGGCCCTCAGACCATAAGCACACTGAAACGAGATCTCCCAAAGCACTCTGGGTGTCCTCACCCAAAAGGCAAGGAATTGGTTTTAGGTGAGGAGGGAGATTAGGAGTAATGATCAGTGTCAGAAACCACCTCATCCATCAACTGTGAAAGTTACTTACATTGAAGAAAACAAGGGAAAAAGACTTCCACCAGTTACTCTTTGAACCTTCCCTCCCTGGAAGGCTGAGGTAATAACTATATATGCTCTCTCCAGAAACAAAACAGAAGAGCCCCCAATTTCAGAGCTCAAAAGAGCTCCCCTGTTTCTTTCCACTAAGGAATCTGTCCCTTTGGATCATACACCCACATAAAATCCCATAATTCTGGGAAGTGTTTTGAGGAGTAAGTCCAAGGTACAAACTAAAAAGCTGGAATTTGAGAAATTTCCTAGGTTGTCTCCCCTGAAAGATGTCTCCATGTCCAGTTGGCCTTGTATTTCACTGCCCTTGGTGCAGAACAGCTGACTCCAGCACTTCCTAAAGGAGCATCACTGATACAGAGAACCATCAAGGTGGCTCTGGATTGGAACAACTCTTGTCCCACTGGGAAACACACTTCTAAAGGTGTGAAAGCAGGTACACTGCAGACCAAGAAACTGACTAAAAGCAGACCATTTATCCCCAGTCCAAGGTATGTTCCAGTCTGGATTTTTGTCACTGGCTTTTTAAGGAAATTGGAAATTTGCTCCAAGGGCTCATGTGCATTCTGAGAACTACTGCCTCCATGCCAAGGCCTGTGATGCAGCTGCAGTGGTGCTGACGTGTGCCAGGCATCCAGTGCTGCTCTGCAGGCTGTCAGGACCTAATTTGTGAGGTGGTTTCTTAAAGAAGGATTGGAGTCCAGACAGTTCTGCTCCAATTCTATACTACATAGGAGCAAGATATGGTAAAGGGTTTTCTTGGAAGTAAGAAGTACTCAGCACTCTACAGTTCAGGAAAGCTTTAGTAAATCAGTGCTGTCTTAATTTCCAAATGCCAACTCAATTTCCAAATGCAAGAAACTACTTCCCCAGTGCAGGACTCTGCACGACAACAAAGGAGGGACAATAACTGTTGCCCAGAAACAAAAATTACAGAACATGTAGATGGAAAGAGCATCTAATTTGGGTGGAGGTCATCCAGCTCCTGTATGCCACTGGCGTATACAGTGATGGCAGTAAAATCCAAAAGGGAGTGAGAAATGGGGAGAAGAGTTCTCTGAAACAGATTCAAATGAAAAGGTCTTAACTTGAATTGACAGAGTTGCAGCAGTAATATTTTCTAGGAACGTTTTTTTCTACAGTTTCAGAATTTTAGTTGCACTACACTTTCTGTGGGAAAAAAACTATGCTAGTAACATTTGTGTAAAAAACTTCTGGTAATATTTAAATGTAGATATAATAACTAATCAATCCCACAGACTTCTAAATCAAAACTCTGGCAGACACCTGTGGTAGAAAAAACAATTTTCTCTTTTAAGCAAGAAGGTTGACTATGTCATTCAGTGCATGGAAGTATATGGCACAACTATGAGGTGTGTGACATTATAAACCACTCCAACACTACAGTAAGTATGAGCAGTGAATAGAAAAGGAAAGTGGATCTTGTAAGATGCAGAAACAAAACAGTGACAAAAGGAAAATTTTTGGGAATTGATTTTACATGCTCAATAATAAATTATTTTGAGTTGAATTTTTATTATAATTTACGTAACAAGATCCAAAATGCTTTATGATAGCTCCTGAAGACTAACCCCGCTTCAGCACAAATATTTAATGCACAGAGACACAGTTCCAGCATGGGTGAGAAGAAAAATGATAGTCCACAATGCAGCAGTGAAAAAGAAAACAGACACTCAGGAGTAAACTGTCTCACTTTACTTCTTTTCTTCAGCTCCATGTAAGCTGGTTTTAATTACATAGAGCAGATATCTAAAGCCAGGCATTCATAGGTATGTGGCTCTGAGACATCTCACGAACTGGTAAGTACTACTCATTTAGTACAACATTTTGGGTTTTTTTCCTGTTATTTTATCTGATTGACTTACGGGTTTCTACTATTTCTTAATGTACTTTGGCCAGTAGAAAGAATCAAGAATTTTTATTTTAGCATGGGTCTATCCACCAAATGAGTTTTTAGGATAATTTATAATTATTTCATTTTGAACAGCATGATTAAAAAATCTGCATATATTTCACACCATTTCTTACTCTGCAAATTGAAACTGATATGCCCCATTACATACCAGTCCTCTAGTATAGATTACATTTTCCTCATATAGCATCAGATTAAGGTAGAGAATACCTATGCTGTGACATTCTCCTTTCTTTGTCTAAACAGAAATGTAGTGTATCAATTTCTAAAAATATGCTAATTATAAAGCCTCATATTAATGGAACTGGCCTTACATTTGTGTGACAAAAAGTAAACCTGTATTTTCAATTAATATTCCTCCTAAGTAGGTAGCATAAAAGTAAACCTTTCTCTTCTGAATTGAGAAGGGTATTAAAAGGATTATTAGCTTTTTGCTGACAGAGTAATTTTAACATATTTTCAAAAAATAACAAAAGATCTTTTTTCTGAAATATACTAAGATATAACAAATACATTACAAAAAGCCTAAACAAAAATAGTATGTTCACCCATTATGTGCAAGTTTATGTTCCAGCTATTTTTCACATGTTAAAAACTTAAGCCCTACCTCCCTTTACCTCTCCCAAGCAAGTCAAACACAGAGTTAAATGCAGTCTCTTTCCTGAATAGCAAGTGATGGAGATTCTCAAATCTCTTCATCTGTTTCCAGTTCAGCTGCTGTTGCTCCTTAATCTTTCTCTCTAGCCTCTATTAGCACATTGACGAATGTCTGAATATTTACTTCTGGAAAGGGGAGATAAAAACATTTAGAGTTACTTCTATCTCATTTCCATAATACAGCATAGAGAATGTGAAAATGCAAGTTTTACTGTTAATTAGCTACCTAATTAACTAATTCTAGTACTAGAAGCATAGTTTGCATTTGTCCAAACTCATGCCCAATGACAGCTATGCAGGAGCATATACCCACTTCTCTTTAAATCCCTCTCATAATCCATTTCCAAAGGAGAAACTCTCATTTTGAATAGTATATCACTATTCTCAACATTAATGACTATTTCTACAGTAACTGGAAAAAGGAAATTGACACTTAATGAACTAGCTCTCTGATAACATTTCTCTTGTTGTCCCAATGGGTTTTGATTCATTTGGATTATCTGCTATAATGCCATCCAGGTTTGGTTCTGCATGCATTAAAATATTTTTTCGTTATGCCAATACATTCCCCTCCCATCACTGCAAACCTACCAGCACAACTCACGATACAAACTGCTAGTTAGGAAGATGACCTAGGACAAACCTTTCAATTCAGGAAATTTTTGCACTATCAAATTCTCCTCCCACTCACTGGTCCATCTAGTTGTCAAGAGGCACAGTGTCCTCAGAGAGGCAACAATGCTTTTCTTCAGCTGATACAGATGTGAGCAAAATGAGCTCAACTCCCCTGAACAGCTCATCCTATCTCTGCAACCTGCAATCTTCTGCTTATATTACAGCAACCATGCTGATGTAACTCATTTTACAAGATGGAAACCAATCACCATCTTACTTTGAAGTGCTGGATAATATGGAGCCAGCTGTTTGAGCATCCTGGTCATTGTAGGTACATCCTTTCCTAGTAGTTTGTTCACAGTGTTGGGAGCAAGACCAGCATCGATTCCATCAAACATCTCTTCAGAGCTTCTGAACTGCTGGTGATCTTGGTACGAACCACTGCCAGAAAATGAGTCCTGATGTGAACTCCAGTCTCTCTGGTAGACTGATTTTTGATACCTGAATCCTTGGCACCTAGATTCCTGCTTCCAGCTAGAGTCCTCGTTCCACCTATAGTCCTCATTCCACTCATTCCACCTAGTGTCCTGGTGCCACCTGGAGCCACCTCTTCCTGAAACAGCAGAATTTTCAGAAGATGTACAAGTATTCACAGACTCATAGTTCTTGTAAGAGGAATAGTTTTGTGAAGAATAGTTTGTAAAGAATCTTCCAGATGAAGGATATGAGGCAGAAGAATTGGGATTGGATAATTCTTGGTCACTTATATGCCTTGCTTTGGTACACGCTTGTTGATTCCTCCATTTGGTATTTTCTCTGTCAAATGAGAGTCTGTTATCATAGAGCTCACTTCCTTGCACATCACTGGATATATATTCTGCTGAGTACTCCTTCACTGGGTTGGTCTGGTATGAAGTGGCCCCAGCAGCCAAATTTGTGCACGGCATGGAGTTTCTGAGCTGTCTCAGCCATTCACTGACACCACTGGCAGGAATATCAGGCTCAACAGCAGGAGAGTGCCTGAATAGGGACATACTTGCAAAGTTGTCAGACCTCAGGTGACAGGAGGGTGATCCATCATCTGCTTGGTAACTGTTTGAGTGAGCAGGAACAAAAGAAGCACCTTCAGAATACTCTTCATACTGAGACAAAAAACCTTGATTCCAGTCAGAACTTCCTAAATAAATAAAGGGCACTTAAAGTTAGCAAACTATTAAAATACCAGCTGCAAGCAGAGCTACTTTGAGATTTTTTGATGTGTACTTCTGTTCTTTTCCCATTTCCTGCCTTTATGCCCTACCTGAGTTTGCCATCTTTTCACCCAAAAATTCTAACAGTAAACAGATCAAAAGGTTACTACTTGAATTTCCATAACCTTAACTGCTATAACACTGTTCAGTGAGACAGAAATGTTTTCAGACAGTTAAGTCATTAAAGCTCCAGAAAATTTTATCGTGAACTGACTCAGAGGGCAAAGATACACAGTACACCAGCTAAGAAGTACTATGGCTGGCCATAAAAGTAAATTTTCACAATCTGTGCAGGCTCCGAGTAAACAAATTAGTAGAAAAAAATCTAAATTACCTTTGTATTCTACATCTGGTCCATAGTGTTCTGGGACTCCTTCCCTTTCTGGAAATTCATCTTGAGGTAGTGACATCAGTGGGCCTAAACTGTTGGTGTAATTATCCTAGGTAAAGCAAAAGGTCAGAATGTCTGTTTGTGAATGCAAGAATTTAAGAACTTTACAAATTCCAAAAAGCAACAGATTTCCCACAGAAAGTTAGCAAAGTACAATTTTAGGTGATAGCAAAGTCCATATGAGGGGTGTGTTGTTACACCACTATTTTCTGGGGTTATTTGGCAGAGATATGTGTCAAGAACAGAAGGAGGTCTCTGGTGAAGACAATGTCTCCTGTTTCAAATTTATTGCCTCATCTCTCTTATCATCACCTGGCTAAAACATAAAAGTGCTGCATATGCAAATCCTGCCTCTATCTGGGAAATGCAGAATGGAAGGCCCAACTGAGAGATTAAGCAACAGAAACAATATTTAACTGGTGTTGTTGGCAGCATTTGCACGGAGACAGTTACTGTAGTTCAAATGACATGGAACGTAAAATTGAGAAAACAGTCTGAAACAGCTTTCAGAAAAAAACATATCTGAATTTTGTGAACCTTGTAGCTGCTACAGTGATGAATCACTTTTTCACAGATTCTGGTACTTCTTCAGGTTCCTTTTTCCACAGGTAGTCAACCTCTTTGCAAAGAAGCTATGGAGGTTTGCATGGACCAACGGATAGTCAAGAACATCTTGCCTAATCTTAATAGATTAAAACTCTCAACTGAAAGCAAAGCTACAGGTTACAAGAAAGACAGACCTTACCCAAAGGCCACAAAAGAAAAAAGTGGCACATGTGGGTGGAACTTAAAGCCTCACTGATCTTAGAACAAAAGCAAAGAAGCAAGGGACCACCACAACAAGGATGACAACCTGTCATCAAGAAGCAAAATAGTGCCCAGAACAGAACACACACACAAAAAAAAGCCAAAATAGATACATGATGATGGAATACTAAGAGAAATATGCTATATAATTAATATCTTTGTTACTTAGAAATTGTAAAAAAAGAAAACTGAAGTACATTTAAGTGGAGGTTTTGACCCATGCCTGAACTGTTAGAGGTTGGCAGGGTGTTACCACAGTGAGTTTAACCACTCCTTTCCTCCCAATGGTAAAACAGTTCTACACAAGATTAAGTTACTTACTGCTGCTTTCTTTTCACAAAAGGCCTTCAAAGCTTCCATGAGTTCCTGTGTAATGCGAACAACAAGTGTTGCTTCTGAGTCTGAGGTGATGTGAAAAGTCTCCTGTCAATAAACATGGTAAGAATTGGTCACTAGGATGCCAAAGGGTCAAATACACAAACAGATCAAAATTATACTTTGATTTTTGCATAACCAGATTTATACTATTGGTTAACATATGGCATGTGTGATAAATGTATACAAAAATATAAAAAATAAAATCAGGAGCGTAATTATGGCCTGATAAAAGGTAAAACGTAATCTTGGATTTCTCTGCCACTCCTGTACTGTCAAGTCCATAAATATTTTGTTGCAGACAGAGAAGGACACAAGTCCTAAATTTATATTATCTGTGTAGAAAATTGCATAAAAAATAAGCTTCATGCTGATTACTAAGTAAATGAATTTATAAGTGATTACAGTAAGTTAAAACAATATAGGCAGTAAGGAATAGCTGTGATTCCTGTACATAAAATCAATTAACTACCAAGTTTTTTTATAGTTTACTGATTATGCCTTAGACTTGCTTTTTCTCTCTCTCTTTCTGAAGTCACAAGTAACCATAGTGTGGAAGATATGAACCACACATTTCAAAACATTCTGCTTCTGATTTTGGTTCATAAACACAATTCAAATTAAAATGAAAATTTCCAATTGCCTTAGGTACAGAACATGACTTTCACAGAGTAAAACAGTGAACACAAATGGTCAGGTATTTTCATAAATTCAAAAGACAAATTGAGGGTTACTACACCACTGTCAACAGCAGCAGAACTGATAAAACTTCCCCAGTCACACCAAGACCAGCAGTTGTGCTCTCTCTGGCAGCCAGACCAGACTGGCTCCTCTTGCTCAGCAGTATCAACAATCCCATTAGATACGGGCAGCCAGCAGCACTTGAGCACCATCAGTGCTGCTAATTAACACTGCTTGTCAGGGTGGCTCCTCAGCAAAGGGGAGAGACATCCACAGAACAGGCCAAAAGCTCACATTTAATCCAGCCAATTGCTCTGAGCTAAGATACAGCTGCACTAACTTTTGAGGGCAGAGTCCACTAAAAAAGAAATTAATGTTGCAGTCAAATGAGTTTGATCAGTAATCAGAGGGTCCTTCAAACAATATTCACTGCATCGTACTAGTGAAACATCACAACTCTCATCACAATTATTTTACATACATACCAAGAACTCCAGAGCTTTCTGTTTCCGAACAGGATCGTTCTGTGAGATTGTAGAATAGGGGAAAGAACATTTAAAAGACTGAATTTTACTACAGTTGTTGCATCATCCTTTACAGAATGAGACATTTTAATCTTTTATCCAGCAACAGAAGTCAACATAAAGAAAAGATATAATTTTAGGTTGGAGCCATAAACATGTAACCTTAGATCCTGAGTATCGGTTTGGTAGCTGTTGCAGCCAGAATGGCTGCTAGTAAAGTCCAGGGTAAGGAAGCAAAAAAGGCCTTTGCATAATATCCACAGATGTTTAATTCAGCAACCTAGTAAGATGTTCAGAGTCCCAGGCACACTCACGGAAGACTGCAGGTTTCTCTCTCCCAAGGGGCAGGAGGTAACCCTGGTCTCAGGGCAGTACAAAGATCAGGGCCAATTGGGGAATAGACAGGGAGTGGTTTAGGGACATAGGAACAGGGGAAGGAGATAATAGGGTCTTAACAGCTTTTTGAGGACAGCTTCTTGTGTCTCCCTAACCTAGGGGATAACCCCCAGGGTCTCCACAGGTTGCAGCTACACAAACACAACTGCTTTCCTTCCAATACCTGGAAGAACACATTTCACATCTAAGCCACACACCTACAGGAGCTATCTCTCCCAGCCTTTCCTAACTCGGGAGCAAAATCATGTTTAAAAACGTCAAGTGCTCAGCTGCATTTAGCGTAGAACCTGACCAGCCTGAGGCTCACATAACCAACTCTGCCACCAAGATAAAAACAAGTCACTTCTCAGTGTTTGTCTCCAGAGCTAATCAGGACAGATACTTCAGTGATCATTTTGAATTTCACTTTTGGGTTATAAAAAAGGATTGTAAATCTTTAAATATATCTCAAGATTTAAACCAAACTTTCAGTATAGAATAGTCTTGAACTGAAGAGGAACAAAAGAGGGAAGGGGAGACTGCAGCACAGGCTGGGAGACCTGGCCTGGAGACACTGTCTCTGAGATTCAGTGGCTCTGAACAGGATTTATGAGAGCTAAGGTGAATGTACTGTTCCCCTCTGCTGTGACAAACAAAAACCTCTGACTCATTAGATCAATTGCTTCTGCAACAATATTAATAAAATACTAAATGAAGCCAAAGAATAAGCATTTTCCAGAAAAATTTAAAACAAACATTAAGAAACTGCTACAACATGAAACACTTGTGGGTATGTGAACACTTGTGTGGAGTTACTGCCTCTACATACCTCATGCTTATAATCATCTTCCCACCTTAAAAAAAAGAAATTACAGTATTACGATGCATTCTAAAAATCACTAAAACATTAAGTTTACTCAAAATATTTTAGTTTCCAAATTTTTATCACTTACCAATACTGGGTATCTTTCTCTAAGAAATAACAGTGTTTTAAATATGCTGACTGACTCTCAAAGAGACCAGTAGCGCAGATGAACTTGTTTACAAATCAGCTAAAGGAGGTGACTAAAATAATGGTGAGTTGGGTTTTTTCTTCCTATATAAACAGCTATAAAACTTAATCAGCCAATGACATCCCACATAGAATGGAAACAGTTTGAAATTTCAATTGCAATTACCTTTTGAGTGCAGTATTTCAAAAGCCATAACTGCTATTTCCTCACAGACAAAAAGGAACAATTTACAGAAGAGGAGTAATTATAGTGGAAAGACAATATAAAATACTTCCCCATATGATACTTGATACAGGAAAACAGATTTAAGAATCTCTTTTGATTCTCCTGTGCAGACAGTACTCTCACCTTGCTTTCTTCTTCAATGGGGCTAGAAAATGAGAAAAAGAATTATTAGCAACATGACAAGGTTTGCACTGTATTACTGCACAGAAGCATTAGACAAACAGAACAGTTACTGGCCATAACGTAGCTGCAGTTTCTGTAAAGAGCAGGATTCAGCAGCAAATGGCACACACCATCTTAGATACCAGCAGGCATCCTTGCTGAATAGTCTGTGGGAGACCTGTGCCCTAAAGGCTTTGCAGGGTACCCTACAGCATCTATGTTCAGGCAGCTGAATCCCATACAAGAAGGCTGTATGGAATAAACTGAGGTGGGCCTGTCTCCTCCATGAAAAAAATGTACAAGGTATGCATGTGGGCTTTTTCCAAGTGAATACCAGTGAACCTAACAATTGTACACTCAATAACTAAATTTCCAACAAGAAGTTATAGAGGTTGGAATGTCTGATCATGTCATCTCTATCAATGTATAAGCATGAGGAGAGAGAGAAGGAAAGCTCAGCAAAACAAGGCAGTCTTACTATGATTCAGAGAACCAGCTACTGCATGGTAGATAACTTACCACTTCCTTAAGCATTGTGTTCCAGGATATGCAACAGAACGTGTAATAGTTCTCTGGACAAGTGACATCTTTGGCCCTACCAAGATAAGGCCAAAAGACCTGTGTTGTCATGTTAACCAGTTCCCATTAACACGGTTAACATATGCTATGAAGCTGTTAATGTCCATTTAGTCACTTGCACACTCATACCTGTGTACTAGTGGCCTTTCTTAATTATATCCCCAAACTCATTCTCAATGTCAGAAGAGAGTTTTGACATTTGCCAACATTATCTAGTCTAAAGTTACTTACTCCTGCTAACACAGTAACCATGATTTTCTCCTAAATAACCAGAGGGGTTTTTTTTTTGGAATTCACTTGATTATGACCTTATCACCTAACCAGAGTATACCTTTATATTGAAAGACACAACGCTTTTGCAGGTAACTTCCCTCTTGTTCATTTTTTCAGAGTTCGTATACTGTTAGACAGGATATGATCTGTGCGGGATCACTCTTTTTGATGTTCCAAACTGATATTTGACCATGTCTTCCACTTCTACAGAAGTCTGCTGACTTGATTGATGTCAGTTTACTCTGAACTGAAAATTACTCAGCTAATTACCAGGGTGACATTCCCTCTTCTTCACAAGAGACACAGAAATAAAAAAGATTTCTGCCACCTTGTTTTGCAGACTAATATTCAAAAGTACAAGGCACAGAAGCCACCAATGAGCAATAAAAAGAAGGAAAAAAAAGGGGAAAAAAAAAAAAAGGATTCATGCTGACAAAGTCTGTTGATCTATGCAACCTTCACCCACTTTAATCAAACCCACCTTCCTTCTGATATTAACTCTAGGGTTAAGAGGTAGCAAGGAGGTATTCCTCCAGATTGGCATCATTAAGTATCTACAGTACACCTACAGTAACAAAATATGTAACTCAGACATGCTGGATGAAGAAAGATGTTGGGTTTATGTTTGTGGGTTTGGTTTCCATCACTTGTTCCAATGGATTTGCTGAAGAATTATAATTTCCTCTTTCACCAGTGATTCAGCATGTAAGTCTTGTGATGATGGAAATGAGGTAGAGGAGACTTTGTCAGCTTATTCAGAGAAAGCCATCAAGTACCACTTTTCCATACCTTTTTACTTCCCTTTATGACCAAATTATTGCAGTTACCATAAATACCTCCAGAACCCAGAAGTTAAAAAAATCTAAGGAGGACTGGAAGTACAGCAATTTCCTTCTTTCATCTCTTCAAAATCAGAAAACCCAAAAAATCTTTGAAAACGTGTTGTGGTATTACACGTTAAATGTTTTACATCAGTCAAACCCTTAGAGTTCAACTAGTAAGTCAAATTAGGCCAAATATCAATTATATCAAAACTACTATATTAAAGAAATTCACAGACTTACATGAGGTAGCTGGTCTTGTGCAACCTTCCATCTAAAAATATAAAAAGTTTCATATTAGACTTTCTGACTAAAATTTCATAACAACAGTCTCTACTGCAACTGCCTTTAGGAAAGGAACAAGTACTTTTATTTATGCCAATATAATTAAGTTGAATTCAATTAAATTCCTCGCACACAGATAAAGACTCCTGTAAATATAAATTAAATTTGAGAAAAAATTTGCTTACATTTGAGAAAATTTAAGTTGCAAAAATTAAAAATTATTGAAGTTAAAGTAATAAAATTTCCAAATCACTGAATTCAGACTGAACAATTTTCAATTTAAAACATTTAAAACCTTAAAAATATAAAGCTTTGGCTTTTTTTGGATTAATTTCAATACTACTGTTCTTTTCCCTGGATCTTTCAGGGCAACCTAAAGGTAAGCCTTAGTTCAACTCACTACTACACTCCCTAGAAACACACAGAAAATTTAACAGGCTTTGCCAGCAGTACTTTTAAAATTTACTCTATTATGCACTAATAAAAGACATATTAACAGATACTTAACATTTACTTCCAATTACCTGATACATTTTTAATCCTTCACTCTTCTCTAGTTCTCCAGCTAGCCGTCTAAAAAACGAGACTTTGTATTCTCTTACATCTGTTGGTTTTCTCCTCATTTTATCTGGAAATTCTTTGGACTGTAGAAAAAAAAAAAAAAAACATCTTGAAAAGGTTAATATCAAAATTTATCACAATATTAAAAAATGTACACATTTCAACTTCTGGACAAGCTTCCAAAAGACTGGTAAACATTGATTTGAATATTATGAACTAATTTATTCTCTGCAACATATCTAATCGAATTTTAGAGCTACTAACATAGTCTTCAAAACAAAAAATGGATACCATGTAAAGCTTGCTACCAAAAGGAAACACCCTCTGTACCAAATCCAGCAATGCTATGGACATGCAGGGGAAAAAAAGAATCACATTGTTTTTGGAACCTGATCCTAAAAGCAATCTAAATACTTAGGAACAGACTGCAGAGCTGAAACAGACAGGCAGCCCTGGACTCCAATGCCTCAACAGCCCACAGCATCAGAGCTCTTCATGCTGGCCTGACCCAGAGAGAGTCAACTATACAGGTATTGGCAATTTATCATATGGGGGTTTAAACTTCAAACTATCTAATTATTTAGAAAAAAAATAGAAGGGGAATATCATAAAGAAATTTTGATCAAAATGCACCAAAATTACTCACAATGTATTCTCTTCTGTGTTTATATCCACTAAGATGTTCTATCATAGGTGCCACCTCTGAATTACACCCACACAGCCTGCACTCGTAACGTGGCTCTCTTCTTCCTTCAAATCTGATTTCAACCACATGTTCTAAACCTGTAAGTGAAAGAGTTACAAATATCTCTATTTTACTACAGAATACTGAAACAAATGTATTCTTTTCAATGCTGCTCATCAAATTCAAAATTAATGTATTAAATTATTCAATTTCCAAAATTTGACACTCCTTCAGGATCACTTCAACACTTCTTTGCACTTATTACCCAATCAGCTAAATTTATCTCTTTCCAATATCTTATTCTGAAAAGAAATACACCATCTATGGCAGATTTCAAAGCCTACTAATGTCTGGGACATTTTTTCAAGAAACTAAGAAAGAGAATGAGAATAGAAAATGCCCGACAAATGTCTAGATTTAAAAACTGCATTTAAAATACTTAGTCAAACATAATTTGGACAGTATCTAAGTAAAAGCAGATGTAGAAAGGACATTAATCACTTCACAAAACTGAATCTTTCATAATCTGAAAATGTTCCATAAACCTTTAAGAATCACAAGAATGAAAATGGGAATATTCTTCATTTTTCCTAAAAATTACTGAGACAATCCCTTTAAAGTATTCAGAAACCTTCAAGTTTGAGGCTTCTTACCTAGCATGAAAAGTTTTATTCTGAAAAGCTTGAACACAATAAATTTAAAAGCAGTTTAAAACAAGTAGGAAAATCTTGCAGCTGTTCCCTTATGTCATAATTTCCAGTACTCTCTATTTGTGATGGGTTGATCCCAGCCAGCAGCCAAGAACCACATAGCTGCTTGGACACTCACATCCACACCCCTCGGCAGGGTGGGGAGAACACAGGAAGAACAAAAGCAACAAAACGCACAGACTTAAAGACAGTGTAATAAGTTAAGAAAAGAGAGGTAAAAAAACCCCAAAACCAACCAACATGCAAAAATCCATCACTCACTTCCCCACAAGCAGACCAATACCTGCCCAGTCTCTGAACAGCCACCTTGGAAGTTAAACCTTGCTTCCCATCTTTTTTTCTTTCCTTACCTCAACTGTGATTACTGAGCATAACATTATGCGGTACAGAATATCTTTTGTGCCACTTTGGGTCAACTGTCCTGGATGTACCACCTCCCAGTTTCTTGCCCACCCCCAGCTTATTCAAGGGCTGAGGACCCAGAATAAAAAAAATAGTCTTGATGCAGGTGCACTGCTCAGCAACAGGAAAAACCACTGGGGTGTCATTAAAACTGCTTCAGTCACAAATCCAAAATATATAGGCAGCTATGAAGAAATCCAACTCCATCTCAGACCTGCTACAGTATCATTCTGATAAATCTTAACTCTGAAAATAAACTATCACCAAATGAACTAAAAGTATTCTTGCAACCCGAGTGTTTTCTATTACAAATGCTGATAGTAGTCATGTTAAAAAGCCTAGCAATTTATTATGTGGAGTAACTACAGGACAATACACTAAACAGAGAAATTTTCTACTAATACTAGGAAATTTGCTACTTAGGTCTTCATCAGAGAACCTATTTCTCTAGGCCACCATGACACACTTGGAACACTAACGCCACTGACAAGCAGCCTTGCTTCTCTCCTAAGGGCTGCCTAACCTAGCACTTAGATAGAAAGCATTAAAATTAATCTCACTACTTTCAGTACAGCCAAGGACAGTGAGGAAAAACATCTCACAAGTAGAAACATCTGTATATCCCACCAAATGGACAGTCACAAAGAACCACGACTGATGACAAGTCACCAGTGGCATGAAGTCCAGTTGGAGGCCAGAAGGTAGCAGTGCACCCCAGAAGTCAGTACTGGGTCCAGTCCTGTTCAAAACTTTCATTAATTATCTGGATGATGATGCAGAGCATGACCTCAGCAAGTCTGATGATGACACGTAACTGGGAGGGATGCAGATACACCAGAGGGTTGTGCTGCCATCCAGTGGGACCCTGAGTGGCTGGAGCTGGGCTGACAGGAAGCTCAGGCAAATCAACAAGGGGAAGTGCCAAGTCCTGCATCCAGAGAAGAACAAGCCCAGGCACCAGGACATGCTGGGGCCTGGCTAGCCAGGAAGCACACTGGCAGGAAAAGACTTAGTGGACACCAAGCTGAAGATGAGCCAGCAAAGGCTGACGGTATCCTGGGCCGCATAAGGAGAAGTGCTCACAGCAGGCTCCACTCAGCACCAGTAGGGTCATTCCTGGAGTGCTGTGTCAAGTTCTGGACTGCACAGTACAAGAGACATGGGCATATGAAGGGCCGTGAAAATGACAATGGTACTAGAGCATCTCTCCTATGAGAAAAGGCTGAAAAAGCTGGAACTGCTCAGCCTGAAGAGATCTCATCACTCTGTATAAATACTTGAAGTGAGGGTGCAAAGAGAGAGCTGTTTTCAGTGGTGCCCATGTGTCAGGACAGGAGACAATGGCACAACTGAAGCAGAAGATACTGTCTGAACATCAGGAATCACATTCTGACTGCATGAGTGACTGAGCACTGGAATAATTTCCCTGAGAGATTGTAGTTTTTCACCCTGGAGATTTCCAAAAGCCATCTAGACATGGTCCTAGACAACCTCCTCTGGGACCTGAGCAGGGGTTAAGATCAGCATAGGCCCCTCCCAGCCTCAACCATTCTGTGATCTGGAAAAAGCTTCTTTACTTAGATGGCTCCTTCAGGAAAAAGTTTACAGTTAAGGAGGCCTTTATAATACCCACTGCAATAAACTAAAATTAAAATGGTATGACATAGGTAAGTTATTACATTCATTTACAGAAAATGAAACAGTAACTAAAATCCCACCTTTTATTTCAAAAGAAAGCCATTTGATAACAAATTCAAAGGCATACAATTTATAAAACAAAAAAACATACCAATTAGAGGCTCTTCTCTTCTGGGATCATTCATAAAATCCTTCAGACAGGTTATGTATCCTGTGAATGATCTCTTCACTGAAGTAAAAAATACACATAAAGAGACATTACAATTATATAGTTTACACATAATGTCTATGATCCTAAAGGAGTTTCTAATGGGAGACTTTAATGGTGACAAAATTCATTTGCACTCTGAAATGAGTAAGGAAAATCAGCAAGACCTCAGTCCCCCACAGAAAAAGTCTAACACTTTCTTTTCCATAACAATTTTTTACAAAAGGATTTAATGTCTTCAAGAAAAGAACCAAATAAGAAAACAAGACCTCTAACACAATTCAGTTTACTGAGGAAAGATACCAAGTTCACATGCATAGCATGAACATGACTGTGTCAGTTCTCATGAAAAAAAGAAAAGCCACCAATCTCCTCCTCCCCTAAACCCCTAACACTCATACAGCATTTTGGGGCTGCCTGTCAAGAATTATATACTGCCTTAAAGCTAACAAGCAACACAATCTTCAGTAACACGGCAAATACCTTTTGAGCTCTGGGCAGCCCAAAGGCTGCACAGACACAGTCAGTATATTCCCGAGTCTGAACTAGTAGTGTTTCAATCAGGGTTCTATCTTGCTCCTCACTGAGTTATAATAGCCTGGTTTTGCTCTGCCTAAAACACTTCTAAACCATTCCTGCTCAGCTTAGAACACCAGCAGAGTTCAGTCAAATGTACCTCCAACACAATCTCAAAGAGACATTAAATCTACTCAAATGTTGGGCATTATAAAAGACCGTGAGAAAGTGTTAAAAAATATATTTTCAATCTGCAAAAAAAAGTGCAGAACTAGAATTCATCTACCTAATTACATATAACTGACCAATAAATTACATAAGAGTAATTAACACTGCTAGTTTCTTCAAATCAGAGCAAACATTTAGAAATACCAAAATCATGGAACTGTTACTGTATTCTTTCCCACTAAGATGTCAGGTTATGGCTAAAAAACCCCAACCACAACTTCACAAGAAGAGGGAATTCCGTATTCATTCTTAAATATTCATGGCATTAGAAATGTGCCTGTGTGCCATCAAGTCAAACTCCAGAACTGCACACAAAGAAAAACTTCAGTAAGTTGCATTTAGATGAAAAACAGTGCTACAAAATACCTTGTGGGACACCTCCTGCCACAGCAACAATATGGCCCACTTTCACCAAAAGTTCACAGTCTTCTTAAAATGCTTCTATGCTATGGTTGAGGTTTTTTTCACCTGAGGTGACATGCAGCAGTAGCGCGTGAGAGTCAACATGTAACAAGCTGATACCATGTAATTTATCTCCACAGACTTTTATCAACACTTAAATGCATGCAATTGTGTGCCTGTGCAGCAGGTCAGTGTGAGCTGGTTATTCCCAAGCTGACAGACAAAGGTACGTGATTTTTTGGACTTAATATGGAAAGACGCACACAGAAAAAAGTTAATGGTCTTGTCAAGGTAATGGCCAATTTCTTCTTGCTTCCTAACAACTAAATACTCATCTTAGTATCATAACAGCAAACAACCCATGCTGTTCGTGGTTTATATGCTTTCGGTTTGTCATACTTCACTGCACTCTGAGCATGCTGCAAATTTTTTAATTGAAAACTTCACCAACCAAAAAAACACTAGCTAGATTCACTACGGTATTGACAGGTAACCACGAGACAGAAACTATGTCTATGTCTCAAGTTTGAAAGTCTTTCTGTAAAAATACTTGTAACTTCATACTCTCCTAAGATGTTTTTTTACATAAATTAACCAGTGCACAGAAGAAAAGCAATGGTTCTAGTGTCTGGCAGCTTGCATTGCTTCAGACCATAATAAAAACACCTGCTTTTGTCACCATTGAAATAAAACCACTGCTTTCAAAGTTGCATCTGAAAAAGGCACCATTTATATCCAGATACCTGGTCTGAGCACTCGGTACTTCATTGGAACTTGGATTAGAGCTGAAGAACCTAGGATAAGAGTTTGACAGTTAGTTTACTTATTCTCATTTGTTTTTATTAAGTACTTAGTAGATATTTGAAACATATTACAGAATTGAACAGTTATCTTCGTTCTGCAGTTTAATATAAGCTCAGTATTGACAGTTTTCTTTTTTTAACTTCATTGCTCTAACTCTCCCATTCCACTCCCTTTCTCCATCAACACAAAATACCAAACACACAAATGTTACAGAAACTAGAATATTCAATGCTTATTTGATTTTTAAATGCTTTTCATATTGAATACTTATTTTCATTATTTTAACTATTCAGTATCATATTCAATAATCAATCTATGTTCCACGTATCCAACAAAAGCTTCTGGTCTAAACATTCAGAGCCTAATCACAGTCCCAGACACAATTAATATAGTCATTAAACTACATCCTCTTTTACAAAGGGGTGTGTATCTATTCCTAACCAGTCAGAGCTTCAAAGTGAATGTTAAGGTGTGCACTTACACCCCTGTTGGAATTTTTCCCTTGCCCCTCTCTCCCTCAAATCCATAGACACACAAACCACTGTGCTTTAATGACATTGTCAATATTCTGCAAGTCACAACAATCAAGATTAAAATAAGGTGATTTATTAATACTCATTTGATGGAAAAAGTGAAAGTTAAATTATTAGTTATTTGTACGCATAATTCCTAATTCTGAAGTAAAAAACTCTTCTACAGTCATGGCAAACACAACATGTTGCATACATATTTTTTTTCCTCTTTCTGCATAACACAAGGAATTAAGAGATAGTATCAAAGCTGGAAATCAAATAAAATCAAGGCTACAAACATTTTGCAAACAACTCTCCAGTATTAACATAAGGAAGGGAAAGCATATGTCCCTTGATTCCTTAAAATAAATTATGCATATTTTTCATTTAAAAGCTTCAAACTATCAAGAAGGTAGCAAGAAGATCCCCAGGCATTTTTGCAAGTACAACAATTACTTAACATCATAATTGTTCAATTAGTGTCTGAAGCTGAATTTAGGATTCCGGGTGCAGCACGTGCAGACAACATGGCCAAATGCTATATGATATGAATAGGCATATGTGAAAAAGTCCTTTATTTAGTTTACTTCTAGTAACAAAGTGAATTTACAAAGAGAATTGCACCAGAAGCAGCTCTCAGCACGTTCTGCCTTAACACGGTTAGAGTCTACCAATATGGTCAAGCTAAAAATCAAGTCATAGCTGCTGCTATCACCAATAGGAGCAGATTGGGGGATTGAATTTTTTTAAAATTAAAATAAAGAAAATGCATTACGTTAGGACCATTGCTGCCCACAGATGTTTAACAAAGCAGTCTTGATCTTGAAGCAACAGCAGGTTTTTCCAGGCTAACTGGAAAAACTTTAATTCACACTTACTAGCCACATGGCTTTGTAATGTTATCAATAATATATTTCTTAAGCATCTCAAAACCAAACCAAAATAGTATTTTCTCTAAAGCATACCAGACTGATCAATGAGTTGAAAATCAGCTGGCTTGCTAGGCTCAAAGGGAAACAATCAACAAATCAGTCTCCTGGTGTCCACTACGCAGCAGAATCATCCAAAGAGCAAATTCCAGGGCCCATAATGATGCATCTCCAACCAGGTTAGTTACTGTTGGTGGCATTCATAAAACACCCTCAGACAATTCACAGGCAACAGTAATTTAGGGGATACAACTGATGCCACAGCTTCAGCTGAGTGGGACCTTGGGAACACTGAAGATTCTGCACAGGCAGCTCATTGCAGAGTATCTTATCCCCCATTATCTGGGACTTGTAAGGATTACTACTATCATCCCTGTTCAGTTCAAGGGAGATGTATAGAAAGCAGAGGAGGTCCAGCAAAATGGCTACCACAACAATCCAGAGCAAATAAATTATGAAAACAGGTTTGTGAGCTGGACTTCTTCAGTCTGGTGGAGACAAAGAGGGGACATAATAGCATGGATACCTGAACAGCAGCTACAAAATGTCCAGCCCTGTGGGAATGTGAAAAAAGCATTAAAAAGTAGCAGCCAGAAATAGTTGCTTCAGGTGCAAAGATTAGATACTAGGATAAAATTCCTCTTTGAACAGAGGAACGACTACAGACTGATTAACACAGGTAGCAGACTCTTTGCCTGTGAAGATGTTCAAGGATTCAGCAAGCAAGTGGCTTTAGCCCTGCTTCAATCAGGAAGTTAGGAAATCACCTAATCAGTCTCAGGAAATCTCTTCCACCTGATTATTTTATTTAGTAAGAACTATTTTCCAAATAGTAGCTATGTACACAAACAAACAAAAAAAAACCAACAAAAACAACTTCCCAAAAATCCCCTTCCTTTCAATATTCAATTTCAGAGTGCTGAACATACAAAAGATGGCGAACAAAGAAACATCTGTATATGTATTTGTAATGCACACCCATTCATAATGACTGCCATAAACATAATAGCCATGTTTCAAAACAAAAGGGCAGTTTCAGACACTGGCAATTCAGCTACTCAGCAGCAACAAGGATGTCCCAAGCTCAGTACCGCACATTCCCTTTTGAGTACAAAAGGGAAGTGCACAAAGAAGTCAGATTCCACCACATCGAGGAACTCCCCTAGAGAACAGCAGTAAGGGTGTTGAAATAGTGTTTCATCTTATACTTCTATTATTATGGCTTCTGAAACATTTTCTCTTCTAGTCTGTAAATCAGAATCAGAACTTCCAAGGCTTTTCCTTTGAAGACTCAGCAGTAGTTATACACCCAAAAACCAAAATCCTTATCCATCTTTAACATACACTGAGCATGGAGGGATGTGTTAAAACATATCAGTTTCTTACATATCAGTTTCTTAAAATATTAAGCTGAAATGGTGATCAGGATTCTGGTAAGGTTATCACTGGTGAACACAAGGCAGAACCCACCACATTTGTGCCTTCAGCAGAGGAAGAACTTGTCATCACTGCTGTTTAATAACTGCAGCTTATCTTCAGACTAGTTTCCTCTCCTTGACTCTGAGTTTTACAGAATAACCATAATGAAGCTTTCTTTACTCATGGTGCAATTTACAGGTTTTAAGTTGAAGGATATAGATGCAGATTAGTAGATCCAGCAGCTAAGAACATACAGCATCCCTTATTACACTTTTCATTTGTATTGCTGTAATAGCAGGACAAGCTACCTCTGCATCATTCCACAGGCTATAAAAAAAAAAATCTTCAATACACTCCTCTGTAACGTATTCATTTCACCAATAAAGCTAGACAGCCCATAAAGGGCTTTAACAGGGCTCATACTCTGTATTATGCCTCTTGCCTGAGCTAACAGTTGTAAACCACTGCATTTTGCTACTGCCCAGTAAAAGTTTGCCCATGTGTATATTGGCATTGCCCCATCATTTAGTGCCTCTTGCTCAAAGCAAAAAGCTTTCAAAACTTTTCTATTTTGGCCAGTAGACCCCAAGAAAAAAAAAAAAAGTGATGTTCATTCCCCTCAACTCCTTATCCCATGGGCAACTGCCTTAAAAAAACGCTGAAAGAAGTATTCCCTCTGTCCAATTACATGACTGTACAAAGGAATCACATGATTGAAATTTATGTACTCAGGTGTGCTTTGACTTAACATTCTTAGTAAAGTCACAGAACTTCAGGATCTTCTATTTCCACATCTTCCATTATGTTGCTTTTCTCTGAACTGCTGAAGAGAGGAAAAAAAAAAACCAACCCAAAACAATCCAAGATATCCAATTCTGTCATTAAAATAAAAATAGCTTGTGGATAGTTTTGCCATATGGAAACTCACACAGTAATGTGATGAAGAAAGTCACCTTCTTACAGGAAGTGGAACACCTCCAAAATCAAACATCTGGAATCAGATACATTTCCTCACTTAATTGACTTTGAAGTCAACATGGTTGCACAGTCACACGCTACATACACTCGCCACTTCCAGATTATGAAGTAACTTCTGGTGGGCTTGGAAAGGATACATGGCATAAAATTTGGAAACACTCAGAATCCAAATACTTTGTATTTTTAAATTTTGGTTTACAAATGGCAGGTGTTCTCCCTACTGACAAAATAACTTTTTTTTAATTCTGCAGCAAGTAAGAAAATGCAAATGTTGGTGTAAAACATTCTAAATATGTCAAGCCTCATTCTCTGAAGTACCTTCTCCTTTTTAGACAGTGTACATTTCAGATACTTGTCAGGTATCATCCCAAATTATTTCCAAGAAGACACATCCTTCACTTTTACAACACTTTTTTTCCTGGTTCTTTGAAATGTGACAGCATATTCACAGAGCTGGAGTTCAATCTCATGGGAACATTTGATAGCATGAACATTAGATGATTGCAGATCCAGCAACAATAACAAAAGTATTTCATTAATTTATATCCTGAAATAAAATTAGATGCATGCATCTAATTTACAGTGCACCCAATTTAAGAATATCCATACTTTCCATGCTCATTCACAAAATTTTACTACTGAATTTAATAATTTTTGTCCATGCTTACCTCATAGGTCTACAAACAGTAAAAAAACCCCAGCTATTTAAAATGAAAAAATAAAGGCTAGACAAATCCATAATTATTCTTTTTTATCAGTGACAGAGCACAATGAATTTACTGGATCTGCCTGACCTTGAAGGAGAATTATTTATATAATTGGTAATATGTCCATGGGAGAGTTCAAGCAGTTCTACATATATACTGACTATATAATTCTGCATTTTAGTTCCCAACACCTCTGAAAAGTTACTTAAGAAAAAAGCTTTTCTAGTTGTAAAAAAACCCAAAGCAACACAACTGAAACATACAAATAAATTTCATCAGACCAAATTTCAGCCTCTTTGGACAAATAAACCCTACCAGTGCCTTGCAAATTGACCTTCCACATCTTGATCTTCAGTGAAGCCCAATGCAAGAGATAAAGTAGAATAAAGGAGACATCAGTAGTATTAATAGTAATTTTTTATTAGAAGTTTCTGATCATTTCAAAATGATTCCTGAGGCAGAGAACTTTCTGGATAAAAGGATTATCTTGCAATACCACTACATGTGGTACCCCGTGATGTTGAGACTCCTCCAGAAGTCACAACTAACTTGCTTACCAAAGCTTCTAAATTCTTCACTCTAATAATCAGGTATTTTGACTTCTTATTCTGCAGAACACATCCCAGTTGAAGATTCCAAGTCATGACATTTCCAAAGATACAGTACTTGTAGCATGCAGACATTCTTAACCCATGGATTAATTTTTAATTCTCCATGGAACACGGAGGCTGTAGTACATACAGCACTGTTATCTACAGCCATAGATCTTTGCAACAGGCTCCTGCACTGCACCACTCTTTTCACAGTCTTTCTGCCACAACTTCTGGCCTCTTATTCACGTCACACTTTCTACCACATGCATCCCATACATTATTCCTCCAAAACCATATTTTATGATTTTGAATACTTAATGAGTATTACTTTTAATGATCATTTCTGAAATTAAATTCAAAGAAATCTGTAGAAAGTGTCTTTCACTAAAAGCCCTTGACCGGAACCACACAATTCTTTTCTTGTTGCTGAGATGAAAATACAATTTTGTAGCACTTGAATCCATTGGACTTTGAGAAGACTTGAAACTTTTCACAACTCTTCAAATTTTGTCAGGGAGCTTTGTTACCACACAGCAATCTTGACTGCTGAGGCAAAATCTTGTAACTGTTCTCACACTTGAGTGACATGTCTTGCACTAATTCTCTTATCAGCACAAAACCCTGAGAGCAGCTAATGAAGCCCAGTCACTTAGGAAAGGGCCTCTGACCAGCATTTTCCCAGATCTTCCTTGTGTGTTGCTTCTTCGGGGTGCAGTAAGTGGTGAGCTCAGCCTTCAGCACTTCCCTCAGTACCGGATTGACACCATCACTCTTCCCTGTGCAGATGTGTATTTTCAGGCACCTCTGATCAACTTGGTTCAAAAAGGCTGAGAGGTTCAAAAGACACTGGGGAACAGATGATAAAGGTGGAATGTAAGCCTTGTTTCTTGGGAGAATAGGCTAAGAAGATAAAGTAGAAGTGAAAGGCTTGTTTCTTGTGCGACTGACTATAACCATTTTGTTTTTTAATCAGCATTCCCCCATCTTCCCTCATGATTATGCCTCTGCTTCCTTATGTCATCATAAGTAGCTTTACAACAAGATTTTCGTTTCCACTGGGAGCTAGGTATACACCACATTTCCAAACTTTCACCACAACTCTTATTTTTATTGACATATGACAGTCTGGATTCACATTCTCAGTTTCTTGGGGAAAAGATACCCCAACAACTGAATTCACCTTGAATACATCTTTGCTCCTCCAAGTCCACTACAATAAAGAGAGCCAGAACATTCCTGTGATGCTGCCAAGTGGCTTCAGCACTGGTAGAGCTGCATCTGCAACAGTGCTGTGTTAGCCTGTGATTTAGCTTCTTAGCATTCCGTCTGAAGCTCAGCAGTGAGTGCATCAAGCTGACAGACAAGTGGGAGACAGTTTAGCCTGAGAAGGTGAGAAACTAAAACACGGACTATACATCCCTCCACTAGACAGATATATAAATATTTATATGTGAAAAGGCATAAGTAAGGTTTCATACTCTAAAACAATTCTTTGCTCAGCAGTTCACTAGACAAATCTCAGAAGAATGTTCAGCATATAAAGAGAAACACAGAGACATATAAATCGGCAAATGCAAATACCTGAACTATTAGAAAAGCAACAAAACAGTAAATTCCCAAGCAATATCTATCCCAGGAGGCTGGAAGAAAAAAGTATTATACTTACAAGAGAGATTCCTGCGTCTCAGGGCTTTCTCTTGCTTTAATTATGAAGATGCAAGTCATCCCAAAATAGAATAAGAAAAATAAATTAATGTGCTGCATCAAAAAGGAAAAACCCAGCACTTCCACAGAAGCCTTTGCAGATGAATTGCATTACAGGCCAAAGTTTCCACTGTCAAACAGGAAAAATTAGAGCCTTTATGATTGCCTGCAAAAGTACAAAGCTGTACTTACACTTAACACAAGGTTACTTTCAAGAAAGCCTTGTTATTTAGTCAAATTTTAAGGGATGATTATGGCTTGAAACACATCTGAAGGATGCCAGAAAAACCTAAAGTATGATTACAGCTCCTAAGATTTCAGAAGGTGCAGTTCCAACAACCAAAAAAAAAAAAAAATCTTACCCCAAAAGGAAAAACTAACTAAAAGCAGCTCCCCCACCATTTAAAGTGAATTTGGTTAAACCTTAAGGCTAGCCAAATCTCAGGAAAGATCATTCATATCATGAAGAACAGGAAAAGTGTCTTTCATTGATTGAATCTAGAACAGATGATTGCTTTTTGGCAGAATCTAAAGAAAAGGGGAACTTAAATTTCAATTTAATGGCTAAAGCAATCCTGACTAGTTTTGACAATTTTCTGGCAAGTAAACAGAAACTCGTCATTTACAAGAATGGAACAATAAGTGTGATCATTCTACCACAGCAGCAGCTCTCTGTCCAGAGCAGTCCATGGAGTTAAGTGCTGTATTTCCAATATTCAGTGGCATGGAAGAGATGCTGGACATGGGTGTGGCAATTCAAAAGGAAGCAAGACTTACACAATCATTAGCTGTCTGAGAAGCCAAGTAGCTGTACTTTCATGGCAGTTGTAAAATAAGGAAGTTACCCAAGTGCTGGTACTGTCACAGGCAGTAGATGATTTTGTATAAATTCAGCAGCATTTCATAAGCTGAGAAATACAGACACAGTGTTCCTCATATTTATGCTGTTCCAACTGCTTTTGTTACTCATTCTCCAGTTTTACAACAAACAGCTGCTAATGCCAAGTTTTTCAGACAAGCACAGCAAACATTAGCAATTGTGAGCTGTTGCTCAAAGAGAATTTCCTCCTGACTAGTTTCAGATAATCAGCTCTGACTGCACCTGGTTTACTGCTTTTTTTATTATATGAAATGCAGTTTCACAACTGAAGCTAAAAAGTCCATTTTACTCATGATCTCCACTACTAGATCAGGAATTAAGATTCTCACACATTAGCCAAGAAACTTATTGTCTGTTCTGGTTCAAGGATTGCAACAACTGTTTTTGAGCTAAGACTGAAAATTTAGAGTAACTTTTGGCAAAGTGTCTAACTTTGAGAAGCCAAAACTCAAAAACTACTGGTTTTAAGGGTTCAAACCTTCTGTGCACACAGTAGTCTGTACGAGCTACTGCATAAAGTAGTTGCCCACAAAATTGAAGTTCACAAGTTATTTAACAGAACAATTCCAAGTGCATAGTTAAGTATTATATGAACATAATTTACTTTTTCTTATACATATACAATCTTTAAATATATCAGATATAAATGAAAATTCTACTTATTTTAATTCTTCGAGCTCATAATAAGCAAATCAAGTTTTGGGGTTTTGTTTGTCTTCAGTTTGGTTTTTCCCCTCAAAAAAAATCTCCACAATTAAAGTTTCTCTAGATCATGAAGATACGCTGCAGAACACAACGGCATGCTTTTGGGACCAAATATAAACAATCCAACAGCAAAGTAATTTTCCTATAACTAGCTACATTAGCATTCCAAGTATCAACACAAATATGTATGACTGAAATGTTTAAACAGTAATGGTTGATTTTACTGCCACAAAAAGGACAGAAAAGTTGCCGGCACATCAGGTACTTCAACCACAGGTTCTGATGCACAACGGTCAGGGGTAAGACATAGAAGAAATGAGAACACTGAAATGATGAAGACAAAGGCTAACAGCTCTCTTCACACATATGAACATTTCTTGTTTCTAATGAGCCTGTAGGGTCTTGAAAACAGATTTTTTTCCTTCTGGGACATGGCAGGCATTTCTACCTAACTCCAGATGAAGGGAGGGAAAGGAAATTTGAATCATTGGTAGAACCAGAACAATCTGCAGCTGTGTTCCAAACAGTTCACAAAATAGGCAATGTTCTTCTGCGGACGCCATACCTGCAAAGGGCTAATCAAAACACATGGAAAAAAAGATGTTCCACTCTAGGATTTCCCTAGCAAACTGACTATAAAACTAATGCATATTTACAAAAACAGAATAAATTATATAATATACCACCATATTCCAGGTATATACACTGCAGGTGTATTTTATTTGGGGACTGTTATCTCAAAAAAACCTAGATTTTTCCTAAGCTGTGGAAAAAAAAAAGGCCAAACAAACCCATCTTTCATGCAGGATATCCCCCACTACTCTCACAGGCTTGGTTAAATTAAAAGCAGTAGTAAACGTATATAAATGTTTTCTAAGCATTTTACTATAATGGCTAAAACTAAAATGCAACTGTTTTTCAAAGTACCCAACACCATCCAACTCAAATTTTCAGAGCCAAGAATTATACACATCTATGAATATTTTGGCTAATTCACTGTCTACAACTCCCCATCCCATTAATGCCTGTTGTGCAATGAAGCCACAAAACCCCATAATTATGCTACTATACAGAGGTCACACCGCACTCAATGCACAAGATACACACAAGATCACTTGTACTGTGATCATCCCAGCCACACAATCTTTTGGCCATCAGCACCTGTTTGACAAGGGTCTGGTCTTATGAACTAACAACACTAGAAAAAATTTGGGAGAAAACAAAGGTATGTAGAAACAACCTAAATAAATACTTTATGTACTTACTCATAACCCAGAATAACCAAACTACCCAGGTGGGAAAAAAAAGATAAAATAGCCATGTACACTGAAGGTTAAATGAAGTATTCCTACACATCTGCCAGACAGCCAAGCTTTACTACTGCAGCTATTCAAAATAACACATTTTACTTTGAGTAGCTACAGGAAACACAGGCCAATGAAATGAAAATAATTTAATACACGTAGCATGTGTTTACATTTGTTTCTTAATGACCATCCTTCTGATGAACAGTTTTTTCTTTCATTTTTGAAACACCTTCTAGTGGCAGACAAGAACAGAGTATCTTCAACAATGCCATTTTAAATCAAATGGGCAACTGATAGAAAAAAGGCAATCTGAAGTCATAAAATATGGCTGATGGATTGGTCAGGCTAGTACTGTGGATTAGGAGAAGAACTACTGCCTTCTCTTCATTTTGTTGTGCTGTCAGGACATTCTTTGGTATTATTTTGAAAAGGAACTCCTCCAGTAAGGAACGAACCAAGAGCTATTCACTATGTACACCTACCCTGCATTAGAAAGAAACACAGGCTCAGGACTTTTATAGTTATTCAAAACCTAGTGGTACAAAACCCTCAATCTATGAGCTCTCATTTTTCTCCACCAAAGCACACAATCGATTTCATCATTTAAAGGAAGAAACTGGAGATAACTGAAAAGAATGATGATGTGAGCTTGGAGAGTTACTCCTACAGCAATGCAACTGTGTGACTGACCACAACTCCACACCTAACAAAAAGACAGCATGAAAAGAAGGAAAACTATATGCAGATTTTGTAAGAAAATAAATGCTGCGTTTTCTACTTTTTAAGGGAAAACCAGCAATAACTAGATTGCTAAAGTTAGCTAAGAAAAAAAAAGAAACAACAAAAGCAAAGGAATTTTTTGCATCAGCAGGAACATTTGGTAGGACATGAAAAATACAACTGTATACTTCTACTCGATCAACGGGGAGCAAGAAGACTCATTCCTGTGAGGAGAAAAAAGGGGCTGGAGGAAGTAGAGCCACTGACTCAAGTAAGAACCAATGCTATTAAAGTGATCAGCAAACAGCTAACAGAATACCTATTAATCTGTCTCAACAGCAAAGAGATAGGGAGATGCCCTTCATTCCCAAAAAAAAAAAGAAGAGGGCACACCATCACTTGAGAAAGGCAGTTCAGCTGTTAGTCACTAATGTTGCAGGAAGAATAAAGTGTCATTACATTAAGAAAACATCAGAACAAGCTCTTCAGTGCCACAACACCACAATCTGATGGCAGCAAAGGAGTACAGACAACTGAGTTACGTCTCACCTTTACAAACTGAGAATGTTACAGACTGAGAATGTGGTGGAATTTTAAACCATCAGAAGACAATCAACTCAGCATTTGTAAAGGCCTCATCTCTAAGCACACCCTCATAAGACGGTGCCTAATTATTTAATGCCTTTGCTTGTTTTGTGCTTAAACCAGGGAGCAGCTATTATGATGCTTCAAACCAACACAAATGTCAGACTTGATACTAAAGTCTATGTAACTCCTTCAGGAAATCAGAACTGATGTTACTATCAAAGTAAAGAGTAAACTCATTTTATTCAAAGTACAGGTGAGTTATGTAGACTTGGAAGACAGAACAGTATTTTTACCAACTATATCTGAAAATAAAAAGTTGAATTCTTTCACCACTTGTGGCTCTGTGTCATTCAAATGTTAATTTCACAGTTAGCACACATTTACCTTTAAGTTCGGCTGATGTTTCAAGTTACATGCTGCACAAAGCAGAATTGAGAGATTCCCACCTCATCTTTTTCTTGGAATATTTCAAGCAAGTTACTGTAACAAATCTACATGTCTTATTACAAATAAGTTAGATAAGCACTTGAAGCTGTGTGAAATCAAGTACTGAACTTGCAAGAATCCTGGATTTAGGATTAAATCTGCATATATATTTAATATGGAAAAAGTTTACCTTCTTATGTTTTGCACCATGGTAGTGGGACTGAAGACTTATAGCACACATACAGTAAATGTTACAAACCTGAAAGAGAAAAATTGAAAGCACATCTTCAGTTATGCTACGAATATTCTGCTGTTGGTGAATTATAAATATGGAATACATCCGCTCCTACAGTGTAATCGTGTCATTCTCAAGGTCTTCTTTGGCTCAAACAGTACAGTTTGCATGAATTTTAGGAGAACAGCTTACCACTAAAATGTACAGAAGTAGTATGCAAACCTGTTCAAACAATACTTAAACACGTATTTAAATAAATCAGGTAGTAAGAAGTTTTTAAAGCCTCTCCCTTCTCTGCTACCAGCATTTTCTAAATTCTTAGTCTTCTAAAGTCCTCCAAGCTGGAAAGCCAGCAAAAAGGGATGATCGTGCAGAAACTAGAAAGGAACAGAGGCAAAATTACGCCCTAGAAAAACTGCAGCCCCGTTCATTGTTCATTCACACTACGTTAAAGGGATCCGAAAAACAATGGAGGAAGACACGTGCATGTCATTAAGATCCACAGACACGCATATACCATTGCAATAATTAACAGAAGGCAATACAGATGTACAAATATTTCTTACTATCTTTAGCTTTAAAAACAGCAACGACTAATGCATGCTAATATTGCCTGTTTCCTTTACGTACTGTCACAGAACTTGAATGAGCCAGAAAAACATCCAGAGCTACGAAAACACATGAATGAGGAATCTAACGCGTTCTGACCCGGAGTTGCAGCTTTTAGAGATAAATGAGCCTTTGCGGCCGCCCATCAGAAACACCCAGCAGAGATTGGAAAGGCTGCATTGAGAACTATCCACCGCACCCGTGACTGCTCAGGAACGGCCCGAATTCACCGAACCCAGGGACCGGCCACGTTATTCCACAGCCGCTCTCGTTCCAGGTGTGCCCGCCGCGCCCGGCTCCGCTCCCCACAGCCGGGAGCAATGTGGCTCCCAGTGCCCGCACACCTTCCAGAGCCCGCCCGGGCTCAACACCCACCGCAGGCACCCACTCACTTCGCAGTAAAAGTGCTTTTTCTCCGGCTCCGCTTTGCCATCTTCTGCCTTAACTTCCTCAGGCACGGCGCTCATCCTGCACGGCTGGCGGGGGGGGGGGAAATAAAAACAACAACAGCAAAAAAAATAAAACCAACTCTTGTTCACACGGTGCTTTACAGCGAGCAGGTGGGGGCGGGGGCCAGGCCTCGGGAGGACGAGCTGGGTTATTATTTGCTATTTAAGCGCTATTGTTTTATTCCGTGGATCAATCCACATCTTCCACCGGCGGCGCAGCCGCGAAGCATCCGGGAGCTCGCGCCCATCTCGCCCCCCACAGAACTCGTCACTTCCGTCTGCGCCAAGCCGCGCCCCCAGGCCGGTGGCCATTGGCGGGCGGCCTCTCGTCTGCGCCAATGGGAAGCCGGCGTGGCGCCGCGCGCCCGGCAGCAGGCCACGCCCCCGGGCCCGGCCCGGCTCCCCCCGGTGCGGGGAAGGACCCGGGAGCGGCCGGGCCGGGAGGGGCGCGGGGGGAGTTCCAGGAGAGGGTGCTGGGACCAGTTCGGGGGAATATTGGGCCCAGCTGAAGCCAAGGGAAGATACTGTAACCACTTCAGAGCGGCGTGGGTGCCTGGAGGGATTTAGGGTGGCTACCGGGACCAGTTCAGGCTGGGGGTGGGTGCTGGGACCTATCCAGAGCAGACACTGGGAGCGGGCCAGGGTGGGCAGATGCTGGGACCAGTTGAGGCTGGGGAGTGCTGGGCCCATATGGGGAAGAGGCAAGAAATACACACAGCAGTAGCAGCTTTAATTTAAATGCAAACATTTTATTTTAAAATGTCTCAACTTTACACTTCTGCCTGGTAATAAATGTAAAATATAATTTAAGAAGTATGCTTAAAAGTTCCTTCTAAAAGCAGGCCGAGGAGACAGTACAAAACACAACAGAAAAGTGCACTGGGTTTAAACGACATGCCAGAACATCAAATCCACAGGTCGCTGCGTGGTTTGAATCAGCCACAATATCTTTTACAGGTATATTAGTGATACACCATGACACCTATGATACTCCTACGCACAAAGCAGCACAGCCAATGGTGCTGGTTTGGTTACACATTACCAAAGGTGATCCCACAGGATTCCCTGGGGTGGCTTCCCTGGGGCTGGAGCTGTACCTGTCTGCTGCTTCATCCCCCCAGATGGGCAGCGCCTGTGCCTCAGTCACATGCCCCAGTGTAGGCATTACCTGCATCGTGTAGTACATTTTCAAATAGTGCTGGAGTGGTTGCAGTGTTCTCTCCAGGAGTACACCCTCCCCAAAAAAGTTTTGGGGAATCATGGAGTGCCAGATAGACCAAAACTGTCTGTAGAACTCCGTGTTTGATTACTCCACGTGGGATTAACTGTTTACTATTCATAGAACTGTAGAATGGTTTGGATTGGAAGGGACCTTAAAGATTATCCAGTTCCAATCCCCCTGCCATGAGCAGGGACACCTTCCACTAGACCAGATTGCTAAGAATTACTCTTGTCTTCCACTGTGTTTCTTCAGGAGAAGCAGAAATGGCACTTTTAGTACTGGATTGTAAGTGGGGTGTAATCGCAGATTATACCCCTCTGGTGAGGATGTTATAGGTACCTGGACATTTCTGTAAGTCAGTCTTTACATGGAGTCACATTAAAATGCTTGATCATTATTTGCGGTTCTAATCCCAAAATCCAAAATGGACTAATTGAAAACACCGCGCTGTATATGTTATGTAATGCTTCTATACCCTTCTTAATTTAAAAAAAAAAAAAATTTGCAAATTAAAAGTGCATTTGCACAGTGAAACAATAAACCCATGTAGAAAAAAAACGTGAAAGAAGCAAAAAAGGAGAAAATTAGTTCCTTGGTTTTTTGAAAGAGAGATTATATCTAAAGAAAAAAGGATTTGGCATTATATACATTGCTGCACTAAACTGTTGGTGGTAGCTGGAGGTTTCGTGGCAGTACAGACTCCTGAAGAGAGAATGTTTCACCATCAGAGTGACCTTTTTTTTGGTTTGGGGGATACAGCTGTTATTAATAAGTACCTCCATCTTATTAAAGAGGGGGGAGAAATGAGGGATTGCACTTCTGCCTAACACTGTTCTTTTGGCAAAACTTATGAAGTATGCCTAAAGTGGAAATAAAGCTACAGTCACAGAAAACAGAAAGGATGGAGACCAAAATGTACCATCCTAAGCAATCAAAAAGGTGGAAAAGCTAGAGGAGGAAAAGGGAATTGCCTTTAAGGAAGAAAGTGTTCTTTGGTTTTGTTAAGAAGGATTTCAGGGGGCAGAGGGTGTGAGGAAGAACCCTTTCAGAAGAGGGAAGTTTCTTGACCGTGCAGAGGAAGAATCTTCTTAGCTGTAGTGAGAGTAGAAACAAAACTGAATACTGTTAATGAGAACTGAGATAACTTTTGCCTTTTTCAAGTTCTTTCTAGAAAGACAAAATGTAAAAAAATAAGAAAACCCAACAAGTGTTGATGCTTGCCTCTCCTTTCACATTCTAAATCAACATAGGGAGGATACACATGATCCAAAACCCTAAAAAAAAAAAAAAAAAAAAAAAAAAAAAAAAAAAAGGTTCAGGAGGAAGAGCTCACACCCTCCTGTGGTGCAAAATGTGGAGCTCTAGACCAGAATTTCACCTGATTTTTTTTTTTTTTGACATGTCTTTTAATTGCTGAAATACAATTAATAAGACTAGCCAACCAGCTGATGTTCTTTCTATTGCCCCCTGCCACATCTTTGTTTACCATAATTCTACCAGTACAAATATGAAACTGAGGCTGTCCCTGGAGCATCAAGGAAATCTTGAAAAACTTTGGACTGCATAGTTAGAGCATTAGCTCTACAATTGCCAGCAACAAGAGAGTTAATGCATGCACTGAATTTGCCACAGTTTGGAAAACTAACCCCAGGAAAGGAACAGGAGCAGTTCATGCCTCCTAGAATGATGTTTTCAGTCTGATTGAGAAATGCATCTTAGCATTGAAATTACTCAAGCCTTGTTTTCAAGAAATTATTTTTAGCCTGCAAAGTTAGAGAATCAGTTCTACAGAAGAAAAAAAAATATGTGATTTCAGACCACTGAATTTTTCTGTTAATGCTGTAGTCACAAAATAATTACACCTTGTTGGCATTATATGTTTTCTCTTCCCAAAATTTGTCTCAACTTTTTTTTTTTTTTATTTTCCTTCCAAACTACCACTCAAAGAATATCTTTGCCTAAGCACAAGCAAGTGCTTGGATCTCCAGACATTTGGGTTGATTTTCTTCAAAGGACTTTGTTTGTTTAGAATATGTTTCAGCCTGTCACTCATGACTTTGTTCAGAGGCATTTCTGATAGCATGATAGGGAATTGCATTCATAGTGACAAGAACACACCAGATGTCCCTGAAACGTGACAAAGACCTGTTTGTCAGGGTGGTAGTGCCTATGAACATAAGCAGCCCTGGTGTATGAATCTCCCTCAGGTGGATAAAAGCCTTATGAGTACATCCTGAGTGGGGCCACCTGCACAATCTCTTGCTCTCTACATGTTACAGCATCTGTTTCAGTTGTGAGACACAATTTCTCATAGGGCATGGCAAGATTTAAAAGAAGAAAATCCAAGGAAAGGAACTCCTGTTCTAGTGAGAAACTTTCTACAATCTAGTTTAGGTTTAGGATTTTTGTCTCAGTATAATAAGAAAAATATTTCCATTTTTATGTTTACACTCTAAGAGAGTAGAGTCAAAGAGAAAACAAGCAGAGAGAGAAGACAAGAAAAAACAGAATGGGTTTACACCCCTGTCATTCTGCGGCTGGTTTTCTTGGTTAAGTGATACTGAAATGAAAGAAAATAAGTAGGTTATTTTTTTTACCACTACCTAAGGCAATACATGAATTCATATTAGGGGAAATTATGGCTTTTAACTATTTTAATTAAAACCTAACACCTTGTTATGACAAAATAATGGGTTTCCTGAAATAACTACAGTGGGTGAGGCTATTAGGTGTCCTATTTAAGTTCCAGAAAGGCTTCAACAGAAAGAGTTAAGAAGAGATTCTAGGCAGCAGAAGCTGAACTTATCCCACAGAATATTCCTTGCCTCAGGCTTGTTGTCTCTTAAGTATTTTAAGCACTAGGAATTTCCAGAAGAATTGCACATGCCAATCTCAATACCATATCAAAGGATCAGCACCCAAAGTCTTACTGAACTGACTGATGCTCAAATGTCGGACTTCCCTATACTATCCAGAGCAGACTCAGCTGTAAGAACTTTAAGAATACATGACTGTTCCAATAAAGGGTGGATAAGCCATAAATTTAAACTTTGCATTAATATGTTACAATCAAAGAGTAGGAAGTTAATCTTTCCTACAGTGAATTTAGTTACAGTCCCTTAATCTTTCACTTCCTTTGTTAAATCTCTTAACCCAGGATAACTGAAACAAGCTTAGCACTTACACAGTGCTGCCTTTACTCAAAACTTTTGAAACAAAGCTTTACTTTGGTATCCAAAGACTTTAAAGTCAATGTAAATTATTTATAGTGTTACCTACAGTCGAGGTCTACCCCAGTTTCAGTCACTATGTAAGTGCAGGAAAATCTACTCTTTTTGTTCAATCTTACATTGTTACATCAACAATCATGCTTTTTCTTAGTAAGAGTAGTAGCTTTCAATGGTGTTGGACTGGTATGGTATTTGCATGGTACTCGACAGCTGTGCACTGGCAGCTGAAATCAGGTCACATTCTCAGTAAAGACCTCCACAGCAGCTTTAGCACTGATAATAATCTCTACTCTTTGTGGTCCAAGTAACATCCCAGGGGAAGACACCTTCTCACAGCTTTTAGAACTGATCACCTTCCATACTGAAGTATACCCTCCCCAAAGATCAGGGAATTCATCAGTCCATTCTGTCTCAGCCTCTGGAGGGTTTATGGCTGAGGAAGTTTGAATGCTATTATCAGTCAGGCATTTCTTTCAGCCTGAATGCTCCAGGTTCCTACTAGGCAACCATTTGACCAGACATTTCTTCTACAAGAATAATTTTTTATTGTTGCTACAATAAATGCATTGGGAGGCTCTTAAAATAGACTTTAGGGCTATGCTGAAGGGTTATAAATACCAGTTCATTAAGGCTAAAAGCTAAACACCAGTGATTGAAAATATCTTAAACCCTACTTCTCAATGCTAGTTTTTAGAATAATGCCAAAGTAGCAACAACCACTAAGAAAATGTAACCATTTAAAAGAACTGCTCTGTCTTTCATCCTGTTTACTGGTCAGTGCCAGGAGGCCATTAATGTCTGCATATAAAAATGGTTTATAAGATTAAATCAGTGGTAATTTAATAGGGTACAATGCAATGTCAGGTTTCAGTCCCAACTCAATCCAGGGCACATATCATGGGGAGTGGAAAAAGGCAGATCTGTGCCTTAAACACAAATGGCAAGAGATTATTTTAAGCATTTATTTCCTCTGTTCTTTCCAAGTACTTAGAAGGAACTGGTCTTTCTTTACTACCAACAATGGTTAGCAAGTGTCTAAAAAGAGGATAAACTGATCTCTTCATAAACCCAGTTCATGGGAGATTGCTGTACTGCATGTGTGATAATTTAAACTAGAAGTAATTCTACTGATACCACATTTTTTCATGCCTGAAATAAGAACCTGAAATAAGAACTCAGCCACAAATTAAGTGGGCCAAAATCAAATGTGATAATGTGATGTGCAGGATAAGTGTATTTTTCTGGTCTTAAGACTTCATGGAAGAATAAGGAAACAAACATGACTGCATTTACACAGCAGGGAGTCAGAAGGTGACATCTCACTTTTGAGTCGCACATTCATCCATCCACCTAGAAGCCCATTACATCTCATGTGTCAGATTACATTCCCTTACATGCAGAAGCTTCACCTACCTCTATAATATTGATCAAGATGTGTAAACTGTCTGGGTTTATTGGAAACATGAGAAAAATAATTCTAACTGATATGTTCCAGGAAAGCCTGAGAGCACATAGAGTTATGTCAACAACAAAAAAAAAAAAAAAAAAAAAAGAATGAATTTTGTAACAGGGAGAACTTTAGAGAATTTCTGTTGTTAGTATAAGTTGCTTCTGCACTCAGAGACCTGGCAGCTCTCCCATTGTAGTCACAGCAGGTAGTATTTCTAAGGACAGAGAAGGCTTTTGGTGGCACAGTCCTCTGCAGAGTTGCACCTGGTGTAACCACTCCCATTGTGCAAAATGGCATCAGCATGTCCAGATGAAGATAATGGGTTTTAGAGTCGCACTTCATCAATGCAAATTATGTGAGAAAGTGCCAGGCAATGTGAAACCCCAGGTACTCTCATTCAGAGGGGTGTGACAGTGATTCCAAGTGTGGAATTAAACAAGCAGCTTGTCAGAGGTCATGCAGGTGTGTTCTCCTCTTGCCCCCAGCCCTCTATTCCCACACTACCCTATCTCCCCATCAACTCGTTTCTGCCAGGCATCTGCACAAGGAGTTGGACTGGAGAATATTGCAGGGTTCATAGCACAGCCCTACAAGCAGCTCTGAGGCACACAGTAGTGTCTGGCACCGGCACAGTTCTCCAGCGCACTGCTGCATGCCAAGCAAAGGACCATGACAGCAACTCTGTGAGAGTCTAAAGAACTGCTGCTTGCAACCATGTAGATAGTAAATCAGTGAGGCAGAGGTTGTACAGCAACCTGATTTATGTGCAGCAACTGATTAATGGTAGTCTCACTCTGTATGAAGAACAGGTTTGTTTGCTCACAAGTATTTTTGCAGTTTGGCTTGAATTTATGTGATGTGGGCAGTGGTGTACTGGAGAGCAGTGTAAATTCCACCACTGTGATCTCACTTCAGAACAGGGTCTGATATTGCATTGCAGCAACTGGCAGGAGTATTAGAGCAAGGATATCGAGACTGTCTCAAACAAGAGGCAGCACATGGCCTAAAGGAAGCTGATGTACCTCGGACACAAAAAAGGAAACATTCTCATGGCTTGGATATGGTCAACTGGACTATGACAGATTTAACCCAAGATATAGTAACATGTTGTTACCCCTCATTGCTGTCCAGTGTGCAGCATTTCATACCACAGTTTATATGCACTAACATGCAGAGAATTAGTATCTTTACATCTGCCAGCTGTAATGTACAGGCAGTAAATTCTATCAGAAGAGATGGTCAGTCTTCTTGGAGAAGAGCAGCCTCCCGGGCACAGAACCATTGCACTACCTGAAAACTCCACTTATCCTACATATTTAAAGCATTTGGGAGATTTTTATGCCACTCATCTGGCATGTAAAGCCATGCCTTTCATGACTAACAGATAAAGGAAGACATTATAATTATTTATAACATTTTGAAAAAGAAAACATTCATTACAGGGCTTCCTTCAAAAAGCACATATACATACATCTAAGCTTTTTTTTTAAAATTATGTTGTTGTTATATAGGTGAAGTTGATATAAAGTTGAAATAGTGCAATTTAAAAAAAAAAAAAGTTAGTGCAGGAGTCAAACTACAACAATAACAAAACCCAAAATAAAGCTTTATTTTTTTCTTGTGGAAACGCATTACTGTCTGGCTTCAAAGAAAAGTATACACTCTGTTTTCAAAAGCACTAAAGTGCCTTTGAAAAGTATACATCCACTTCTCAGTGAGATTAAGGGTTTCTTTTGGGATTGAAACTAGTATGTTTTTGAAAATAATCTTATGTGGGATTTGGTTTTGATGTAGGGTGACAATATCTAACAAACTGCTGTCAGTCAAAAAATACTATCAAGTTAAAAAGTGCATTTTCTTTGTTGATGTTACTAGTAACATCAAGGAAAATAACAGGAGAAATACGTTGTTATCACATATACTTAACAGCATTTTGTAACTCGTTTATAGAAGTAGATTACATTCCATTGTTCAGTCTTTCAGCAGCAACATGAAAGGCTGATGGCAATGAAATGGAAAAATATGGATTCTAAAACAATAATATTATCAAGAAACTTAGAAGTAACTTCAGTTTGAAGTGAAACAATTTCTAATTCATTTATGCAAGTCATTGTTTTTACTTATGTGGTCCTTTTAAAGTAGGAAGTTGTGTTGGGAAGCTCTTTCCTATTGCCATTAATTTAATGCTGGGATGAAGGAATATCTGATCCTTCTTATAAGAGTGAAAAATAATTATAAAGCAAAAACTCTTATGGTAAACTGACCACACTGAAGACCATAAACATTTTTGATTTGCACAGAGGCACTGCATCAGCTTGAGAAAAACAAACAGAACAAAGAAAACAGAAATTGTTAGACTTTGCTAATGACAAGAGAGGAAAGGTGATAAGGAAAAATGATCAGGTATACTTGTGCAGCAAGTAATGATTCTTTTTCTGCGCCTGAGGTTTTATCTTTCTTTCTTCTTTCCAAAGATGACTAAAAGAAGGGCAGTAGCAGGGGGTAGGCTGTGTGTACCTGTGTCTGTTTCTTTTCACACACAGGTGCACACACACACATATTCTCAAAATATTTCCACTGGCTTTTGATTTTAGTAAGTCATTTAACTCAACTGGAAGAGAATCTACAACTTCTGCTTTTAACATTATAAATATTTCAAATGTTATAAAATCTATTGCAAAAATGTACATTCTGTGGTTTTATGAGGTACAGGACCTGCTAATGTATTTTCAGGGAAGCTTGTGTGTACTCTGTTCTGTCCACTGTTGGACAATGGTGGAGAATCTAGGGGCTCACGCTTGATTGCTTGAACCAAGCAGGGGTTTTTAAATTCACATGGCATTTTGAACACCTCATTAATTGGCTCTTTCTCCTCCCCTGGGCTGGGGCTGTAGAAGTGGCTGTAGCAAGCTGTGTGTGATAGGTCAGGCATGCTTTCCAAACACACAGAGGAGTTCTGAGGGCAAAAGGGGGGCACCTCCTTGTTCCGTGAACCCTTGCAAGCTCTGTTCAAGTTGAGGTTGTTGGGATGATTTGCTATGATGCATTGCCAATTATGGGGTGTGTAAAGGCAGTGCCTTGCCTTCTGGCATGGCAAGGCTGGCTCACAGAGGTCCGGCTCCATTTTGAGGTGCATTCTATTGGGATAGCTGGACACCTGCTTTCTCACTGAGCTGCTCTCATCCAGCCAGGCTCGGCCCTGCGAAAGCAGGTAGTTATCAGCAACGTTTTCAGAATCAGAGTCGTATTCCGTTTTGATAGGCATCTCCAAGGGAACGGCTGTGTCATAGAGAGACTCTGAGGATATTAATGGTCTCTGCAGCTTCAGGTGGTCTGTGGCATAGTTCTCTGCACAGCGCTGTTGGAGCCCCGAGTAAGGCTGGCCATTTTCTGCATTCCCCCAGTGGGAAGGACAAGTTGATGCCAAATTTAAAAAATGTTGGTCTCTGTTGTAGAATGATCCAGCTCTCCTGTTTGGGCATGGGTTCGTTCTCTGGCTCATGGAACAAGAACTGGAGTTTCTTAAAGTCCAGCTACTGTTTGTGGTGCAGTTGTTTTGTATGCCTAAAACTGATGTGTTAGAACTCAGAGGTTCCTCTTGCATAAAACACTCACCATTAGTATGAGGCTCAAACTTCACTTTTACATTATCTTGTTCATTCTTCACTGCTGCCCAGTTAAGATGCTTCCACTGGCCCAGAGTTTCAATGGCACTGTTATAGGAAAGCCCCTCCAGGTTTCCTTTCAAACTGGCAAAACCACTTAGTATCTTCAGTTGCTCATCTTCTTCCCTTTCAAGAACAGTAGAGAAAAGAAGTCAATCAGGGGTTTGTAAACTGTTGTTTTCTGGGATACAGAGTGGCTCAACATGCATTACAAGCTATACGTTGTCCTCAATATGGGACTCTCACACCCTTGTGCACATAATCTTTGCATTTGCTTGAGACAACAAAAGAGTGTCCCCGCATCTGGGAGTCAATGTGTGTGTACAGCTAACTTTCCGAGGCATTGCTTCATTTGAATTCATGCATTGTTCTTCCATTTCAGGCACACAGTTGAATAAAGAACCTAAATATTGTAGTTCAATACAGCAGTTCCCTTACACTTCTGTTCTTCCCTTAAAATATATCTAAATAACATTTTTGTGTAGAAAATTCTAGAGATAAAATGCATGTAGCATCTTAAATGAGATATATTTTGTTAACAAGGAGTTATTTGGACACATAAGAGCTTTCTGATCAGACTGATTTGAGGGACAACCATGGGGGTCTTACATTTCAAGAACCCAGCTGGGAGGAAATAAAATGCCTAAATTAAATACCCAAATAGTCACAGATGTTCATATTGGGTGTATGTTTGTTTTCTATGTCTAACTTAATTTATGCTGCCTTTTGTTTTCTGAGATGGCCAATGAATTAATTTTCCATGACCTCCAGCTGAAGTAATCATTAAAGAAGAACACTAGCAGAGAGTGTTGCCTGAGCAGTCCATGCCCAAAGCAGTTGTTTTCAGAACTGGGGTCCAAATCCTGAGATTTAGGTCTTCAATTCACTAATGTGCTGATTCCCAGCTCTGCAGGGTCAAGTGCCATGAAACCACCTCATGCATCTCCAAGCAAGAAGCAGACATCTCAATAGGAAAGTGCATATGAAAACCTGAAGAATTACCGAGGGGATTAGAAGGCTTTCTCTTAGTTCACAAAAGAACATTTTCCTTGGGTACTGAATCAATGTGCAAGAAAAGGATTTTCCAGTAGAGGGAGTCCGTGTTTTTACAAAGAGAAAACGTCCCACTGTAATAATGTACACCATGAAAGAAGACTATTTTCTCTCTCTCTCTTTTTTTTTTTTTTCGTTTTTTTAAGCATTAAATATCTTCAGTTCTCTGCTAAATATTATTATTTTTATTACTGACAGTATGGAGATGCAAATGGTCTCATAAAAGTTTGCTGCAGAACATGCTTCTCAGAAAATGGTCAAATTGGGAAGCACAAGACTGAACAAAATGTAATAGTCAAAAAAGTTAAGCCCTCAAATGAAGAATTTTACAGTGAAATAGTATCCAGTGAAAATTCTGCAAAAGAATCTATGTTTCCTGGAAGACAGCATACATTTTAACAGCAGCAAAAAAGAAGTTGTAGCATATACAAAATTTATTGCAGACTAAGAGAGAACTGAATATAAACACCAAGGCCAACTCTTGTAATACTTCAGTCTGTGGGAACTATCACGCAAAAGGAAGGATTTTAATCACTCTGAAAGCAAAAATGTAACTAAATTAACATGCTTAATTACACAAAAACAATTTGGAAGTAGAGAAACTAATAAAAGAAACAGCCCCTTTTAATCTGCTTCTTAATAGAAGTTCATTCCCTGACACAGCAAGATGATGTTTGTGCCATCCCCGTAAAAATAAAAAGTTTCAGCATCCTCAAGTGAGAGGTCCTTTGCTATTCATGTAGATCTTGGGAGATACGCTGCCTGCAAGGAAAAATCTACTCTAGAAGTGCAAAGACTTTTTTTATTTATTTATTCCACCTGCAAGGCATTCTGAAAGAAAAGATCTGGGATAACAGCTACATTTTTAGCACTGGGCCAGATGGTGGCTATGTAAAACTCCTGGCCCCTGTTCTCTGAGTCCACTCTCTTATCTCTTCCCTCAGGCCAGCTTGAGGAGATACTTCAACAAGGCCCACAGGAACTGAAACAGACAGTCCCATAGGGAAAGGATAAAAAACCCACTTGAGAGGAAAGGGTAAAACTCATCCAAAAACTCCTCTCTGAATGCAAATCTGAGAGATTAGTTTACTGTAAGATTAGTTACTCTGTGACTGAGCCTACAGGCAACTAACTAGATGTAACTGTCTACAATCATACAATGAATATGAGTACCCTTGCACAAGCAAAACTGAAAACATGAGCTCAACTGTCTTACATGAAGGGGGAAAAAAAAAAGCTTAACATAGTCAAATGCTGATAAGCAGAAAAACTAGGACACTAGATTTTCACCAGCAATGTAAAACAATGTAAAAATACTTTTTTTTTTCGCAAGAAAGACAAATATTAATAATCAAGTAATTTATTTCTGTGCTAATGTATATATATACTCAACTTCAGAAGAAGAAAAGGCTGAAGACAGAAAATAAATATTATTTAGGATTGTAACTGTCATTTCATATGTCCAAGACAGAAATAGATTTCCATATCATAAGTAAACTAAATTTTTCTCACTCAGCTCTTCTTTTAGGTTGCTACAGCCCTTTGAAAGATTTCATACAAAAAGAATGCATTAATTTTCCTGGTTTTTTTTTCTTTTTGGTACTGGAAAATATACTTACTTTAACATTTGCTGTTGGGTAAGGACATATTCTGAACAACCACTTCGATAGAGAAGTTGAGTGTTAGCTTGAACCCAGACCCAGTGATCTTCATTTGTTTGTACTTTAACTAGAGAAATGCCATTTTCTCCATTATTCTTTGCTATATAATTTAAAAGAAAATAAATTTTAATACAAGCAGTATTAAGAATTTTTTGTTAGCTAAACTACAAATGTTCAAAGATTTCATTGTTGCCTTTGAAGCATCAGCATAAGAAAGCACAATCTAAAATATGTCACAAAATGAAGTATATTACATCTTAAAACTAAAATTTGAAAAGCCTAGTAAGACACTTAAACTGTAACCAAGGATTTTACAGTAATAGTCATTCCTTCTAATATGTTCATCTCGGTCGTAGTAGTACCCACAAAAAAAAAAAATGTTCATGAAAAAGGGACCTATAAGAAAGGATTGATTTCAAAGACATTAAAGATTTCCAGCAGATATGACAGAAGGATGAGTACAAGTCCGCTTAAGAAGAAGTTGCCCAGTGGGGTAGGCTTACCATCAAAATTTTGTCCATTGTAAAATCTGAAGTAAAGCCTAGACTCTCCTAATTTTTCCACAGCCAAACACTGGAAAAGCATGAGTCAAAGCTGTGGACACATCATGAGTTTTAAAGACAATGCATTCTAATTTTCCTCTGTTTTCTAATCTTTGGGGAAAACTAACATTTGTAACATATCTTCCAGTTTTCATCAAAGACAAATAGATATTGTTATTAATTATCAGGATTTTCACATAAACTTATTAAATTCAGTGCTGCCACTTTTAGGCAAGCATACATTGAGTATTCTTTTACTACCATTTATTTACTATTTACTATTTACTCTGATCATTTATTTCTCTGTAAATTTTCTACCCCCTCTGAAATCACAGACTTATTCTGCATTATCTTTTGAAGTGGACATTTTTTTTTTTTTTTTTTTTTTTAAATAAGTGTTAGGGAGAAGAAGAAGGTAGCATTGGGACCAAAACCTGAAAAACTTATCAGGAGAAAATAAAAGATGAGTTTCTTTTTCCATAAACTGTATATAATATAGAAGTACTTAGAAGCACCTTTGATTTGGTTTTCAGCAATCTGTAATGCATTAGTGAAGGCAGCACCTTCATGGTGATTGTTTCTTCCATATAATTCTGTTGCTTCAGAAAGTCCTGAACTGCCTTTTGAACTGGAGCTGTAGAGAGTAGAAAATGTGGAAAATTCCTTGTCAGTGAATGACAACACAGTAGAATCACAGACTCCAAAAGATATGATCTTCAAGCTGATGGCTGTTAGCAAAGGCATTTGGTTTAACTATGTAGTAACTAGAACTAATTAAAAAAAAAAAAATGTCTTTTTCCTACATCATTTAGTTGCTCTAACTAGTGTGTGACTGGAGTTCTGTATTCAATTATGAGGAACAGTTACATTTACGAATATTCTGTTCATGACTTACTATATCTGGAAAAATAAATTTCATCTGCAATTGAAAGAAATGCTGTGTATATTCTGCTCTTCCTATTCAAGTTACGTTTGAGGTACGTACATCACAGTGACCAGCAATGCATTTAAGAGTTGGCATGATTTCATTTTGCAATAAGCACCATATGATTTGAATGTATTTCTTCTGATCTTTAGTTTAAAATGGTTGAATCAGAGCTTTAAAACGGTGCAATGTCTATAATACTGAATGACAAAAGCCTCCTTGCATTAAGACCATCAGGGAAAAAAAAAAGACTCTGTAAATCTGCCCACCATCATTGGCTACCATGCTTCAGACTTGAACCAAAGCAAACACTGAAGATAAATAGTTGCTTCATTCTTGTCAAATCTTTGGCCACTGGACAGTCAGGTAGTAAAGCACTTCTCTATTAGGAACTCAGTTCTGATAATCAGTTAATTTCACCTGGGCCACTGGAAAAGCTAGCAAGTAGAAATTACTTTCCCAGCGTATTCCAAAAGCCTGCATTAGTCCATTATATCAGACTTCCAGCAATTCAGTTCTTCTCAAAAGGATGTATGTACTAGAACTACATTATACGTCTGGATAGTGAATCCACACATATATATCCACAAGCATAATCTAATTAAAAGCCAAATTATGGCACTGTCAGTGATACTGATGAGTATTTTGCTTTGCAGCAATAGAACTTGTGAGAACCCCAGGACTGATTCGGGGCTCTCGTGTGGTGGTAAAGTCTCTCCTCCAACCCGCGCTTCCAAAGAAAATCTCTGCAGCCTCTTGTTGTTTGGTCTCAAGGCAGTTCATTGCTAGTTATCTAAAAGACTGTCTTCGCCCGCTGCGCTGCCTTGGTCAGCTGCCCAGGTAGAAGCACACACACTCCTGACACCCTCACTGTCCGGTGTCTCTGTCGTCTCTCCCCCCGCCCCTGGCTGCTGCTATCTTTTATATGATATATTACGTCTTACATGTTTACAGATTTTCCCCAATACCTACTACCTATGTTACAATGTGCTTTTCTACTCTAAACCAATCTGTGAGCGCCAACATCACCAAGAACATGGAGGCAAGGAAGAAGAAGGAGGAAGAAAAGGATCAGGCCCACTTTCCTCCATCTTAGAACCCCTGACCCCCCTGTACAAAGTAAAAAAAACCCTGTACAGGTATTAAAACCCCCCTGTACAATACTAAAAAATTTTCCCCTCTAATTTGTGACTACTTTTACTATACCATCTAACCCTTTGTGACTGCTTGTTCCACCTTCAAAGTTGGTAACTCATTCCATGGCTCAAACTCAAAATCACAGCTGTTTTCAGCTGCTTGCCAAGGTCTAAAATGCTTCTGACCGAGGCCTGGAACCTCTGAAAATGTCTGAGGGACATTTTGAGTTCTGACAAGAACTCATTACTGTAAGGTTATGTTTAAGCAAATAAGGGAAAATACGATCCTAGCCCCAAACATCAACAAATTCTGCCATAGAAGAGTAACAAAAATAACTGTTAGAAAGGAGATGAGCCTGAACACAATCTATCCTGATCTTTTGTGATTCCTACCAAATGATCACCCCCAAGCATTTAGTGCAATTGTAAACTTACATGTTCATAAAACTTCTGTTGAAAGATAAATGCATACACCAAGTACAACACATTAGACTCTTTGTGAACACTCCCCACAAACACACACATTCAGCTTTCTGAAGTTTTTCTTTTGTTTGTTACCAAAATGCCCAAGTTGAAATAGTTGTGTTAGCATAAGATACTGAAATTAGAAAACTCGCAATAAAAATACTTTTTCTTTTCCACTTTTACAGATGGCTTAATGCATTGGTAACTTTTGAAGGTTAGAAAGATATCTTAATGTTCCTTTTCTAATATAAAATTTTGTATAATGAAATATATTGCTTAACATGTATTATAAATAAAGTACAATATATTGTATCATCATGCATTCTATTTTGTTATATTATAGTAATTGTATTATATTTATTTTGTATTCAATAGTAAATCCAGATAAATTATTCACTTTTCTAAAAAAGACTTTTAAAATGGAGCGATATTTAGCATAATTTGTGTTTGTTACATGCTTAATAGCCCATAATCTTCACTAAATGCCAAAAGATTAATTTGTAAATACTTTGTGTTCGCTGCTGCTGCATCATCAGCTTTGTGTTTTGCTCTCACAAGCAGGCTTTTCATCTTCATCTCTGTCACAGAAGGGAGCAGAAGTGGTACCACTATGCAGAATAAAGACAGCTGAGGTGGCAGTACTGTTCCTGATGAGGACTTCTTCCTTTGTCCAAAGAGGAACTTTAGTTTGCCTTGGAACTGCATTGTCTGGTATAAAATAACCACAAACAAAACAAAACAAAACAAAACAAAAACCACAAAAAAACAAAAACAAAAAACCCAACAATTTAAGCATTTCATGTATAAACATCTAATATGCTAATACAACCTATAGACAGCGTCATTTAACACCAAACCCAGTTTTGAATCAGCGACTGAAACGACGAATTTAATTTTCTTCATGTAATTTAAACCATGCCATTTCAGAGACCGGGTGGGTGGAGGTACTATCAACAGTAAGATGAGACTTTTGGGGCTGGTTGAGATTTTTTTCTCTCTTGTGTACTCAGAAGTAGAAGTTCTGTGTTACATTCTGTTCACCAAAACGGGCCACGTACAGTGGTGCAAACAGTTGTTTCCTCTGGACCCCACTGAAGCTGGAACCATTCTTTTTTCATGCTCAGTTCTCTCCAGCAAGATGGTTTCTTAATTTCTTTTCTCTTATTCTGCCCTTTCTCTGGGAAGTATACAGACTGGCAAGTATACAATCCAAGGGCTGTGTGGACAGGTACCAAGGAAAAAAATAGGCCCAAGATAGCCGCATACAGAGTACACAGCTTGGAAGGAACCATCCATCCCTGCCTCAAATGTCTGCGTAGTCACAGAGCAGGGTTCAAGTTTATAGCAAGCTGCTGCCTCTCAGTGAAAAAATTAACTACCAAAAAAGTGCCCGGTGAAAAATCAGCCTGTGTGAGTTAGGCATTTTCCAGAGCTGAAAGCAGGGATGCAGAAATGACAGCTGCTGAGACCCATAGCCTTCCAGCAAATGAACATCTGAGGCAGAACTTGCATTTCCCAGTTTCATGCTCATTGTTTCATTTCTTTGCACGTGCTGGAGTTTCCCCTGAGTAGAAACAGCACTGGTCTTTACTAAGGAAATGGAGAAGTGATTTCTAGAAATGAACCACTCCTAGTATGGAGCATGCAAGAGACTTTCTAATTCTGGGTTTTATTATTAAAGAATTCTTTACGAAAGGAAAAACCACATAATTATTTTTCCTTATCCTTAAAGCAAATACTTTGGGCTTAAATGTTAATTGCTGAAATTCAAACTTGCCACCTTTGTGCTATGCCCAGTACAAACTGAGAACAGATTCTGTCGAAGAGAGCTTAAAACATAAACAATTTTAAAGTCTTTCAGTTTCAAATATTACAACCTTCTTTCCTCCCATCATTCTTTACACATATTAATAATTATCTTAGGTGTTTCTTGTTAATGCACAGCAAAAGAAAAGTGTATCCTGTCAATGGATTTCCACAACATTTATGTTGAAGAATATTTCATATAAAGTAATTAAAGTGTATTATGTCATGCCTACAGTGATCTAAGTGAAGTTGTACTTACAAGAAATCCAGAAGTACTGTCCAACAAGCAGCGAACTCGACAGATGAAACAGCGAGTTAAAAAGGAAGAATAATCTGTTGTCATGCTGTCATTCTCTTGTGCTTTGAACAATTTACTGAGAATATATTCTTCTCCTAGGAAAAACAATGAAGACAACATATATCAGGTCACACTAAGAAATAATGAAAATGTTCTGTAGCCAATTGAGGAAGCTGTTACAGAAATTGCTAAAAATTGCTTTATGGATGGGCGAATATTCAATGGTGTCATATATTGATACATTTGCACATGCTCTTACAAAAGAAAAATAAAAGCTCTGCAGTGGGATTCGGGTGAGTTTCTTCAGAAATTTGGACTTTATTTCCCGCGTTTTTGTAATTTTTAATGATGCAAAACAGGCTAACAGATGTTGCTGGTTTTGAGATCCAAGATCACAGAAAATGCATTAGACATGAGAACAAAATAAGGAAAAATACTAATCCTACAAAAAAAAACAGAACAAAAAAATGGGTAGTAGATTATTAGCTAATGTTCAGGTGTTGCACCTCCTTGATTTTTTTGTACAAGTGCAGTTTTCTGAAATATTTCCTGAAAGACACAGAAATTTATACAAAACTGAACTTGAGACCTGAAGTTCTCCACAATATACATTAGGGTGAAAATTCCAAATATTTGTAAATTTTTGTAGTTTGAAATAGTAGTGCATCTTGTTTTGCTTGTTTCCTGCATACTTCCTACAAAATGTTGAAAGCTCCTATATTTATAAGATATTTATAAGACTCTTGTAAAACAGAAACTGTTTTACAGGAAATGCAAGAAATTCCACCAGTTTCATGACTGTGTTCCTGAGGACTTCGTAGAGGTTGCTGAAGGATTTCTTGCAAGTTTCTCCCAACTCATTTGGTGACTATACTTCCCAATTCATTTCCTCAATTACTACCTCACCTTCTAGTGAAATGCATACATTTTGCTGGGATCAATAGTTCTTTTTAAGGTTAACAATCTCAACCTGATTGTAAGTTCTGTAGTTGTGATTTTGGCTTAATATCTCATGTAGGAGAAACTTTGAGGGCAGGCATCCAATTCCCATCCTAGGGAAGTATAGCCTCAGAGGAAAAAGTGCATTGCTAAACCTACTTGTTCTTCAGAAGGCTCCTGTCTACATAATTTTGCATGAGAATACAAATGGCAGAAGGTGATGCTTCCATGGTGCTTCAGTACAGAACCCTTTTGCATCAATGAGAGGATTATTGACGTCCTGATCTGTTGTCAGCAAAATTTTGTCAGTATGAAGAACTGATGCTGCTCATTCTGAGCATGTAGGAATACGTGTAGGCACATTAGAGAAAACCAAAGGAAACAACTTTGGAGCACCAGTGGCACACTCTGCCTTATAAATGCCCAGGATCAGGAAGAAATGTCATCTCTGAGACAATAACATAAATAAATGGCCACTGTGCATCTTTCCAGTGTAGAATCTGACTGGACATGGTACTGATGCGGGCATAGGTGGAGTGCAATTCTACCTCTGAACAGTGATGCCTATATTTCCAATCAACATACACAACCCCACCTGTTTCTGACTGTAGCTGCTGTCCTGACAACATCTGGGGAGGATTCATGGCCCAGTGCAGTTGTCTACAAAAATCCTGGCGGTCATCCACGTGAATGTAATCATATATGTTTTGGTGCATTACATCAGTCTGAAACAATTAGAACAAGGAATGGTTAATTAGGAACTGTCAGGGGTAACCACTTATCTTTAGATTGATACTTTGCCTAAAATAATGGCAAGTGTAGGACACCTTCAGAGAAGCTTTAATGAGCAAAGTTTTTTCAAAGACCCCTACTTCTCAACATCTGCTTTTTCCCTTCACATCCTAAGATGATTCTTTCTATTCTTAACTCTTTTGTACTTACGCAAATGTGAGTAATAAACATCCAACGGGCAAGTGATGACTAATGGCATTCCCCCAGGGATTTACGCTGGGACAAACCCTCTTTAATTTCTTGACTAAGGAATCATGGGATAGAATGGACACTCAGCAGGTTTCCAGAGGGTATGAGTTTGGGAGGGCAAGCCAGGTCCTTGGTGGGCTGTAAAAATAGGCTGATAGCAACTTCAGGAAGTTCCACAAAGGCAAATTTCTCTCTTAATTTTGGGTACTCCATGAAAAGAAAGAGATTAGAATGTCAAAATGAGCCCAGGAGAGTGCTACCAAGACACTTAAGAGAGCTGGAGCACATCCAGGAGAGAAGAAGAGAGTTTGCTCAGCCTTCAGAACGGAAAATTACAGAAAGAACGTACTGCTGTGTACATCAACCAAATGAGCAGGGGAAGAGAAGACAAAGCCTGACTCTTCTCAGAAAAGCAAAGTGAGAGGGAAAGAATCAACAGACACAAGTGTCAACATGGGAAGCTGGGAATTAATAATAAGCAAAAAACATCACAGTCATCGTGGCTAAACATTGGAACACATCTTCCAGATGGGTCATAGATCAGTCCTGCATCAACCTGCTCTAGTTCGATGTGCTTTGAGCAAGAGGTTTAATTAGATGACTTCCAGAGGTATTTTCCAACTGTCTGTGACTTTAGAATATACTTATTACACATAGACAACCAGCCTAGAAAAGCAGCATCTTATACTGAAACTGAAAAGAAACTTCTAGCCGAATCTTAATTTTATAACGGATCATGTTTCTGCTAATGAAAGCTTTATAAAAGGAAATGGCAAGAAATAAATCTTCACCCATCAGATTGACAAAAATGAGATGGCATAGTAAAATAACCTTATTTCAGGAAGTGTATGTCTAATCAGCAGTCAAAGTTATGCAATATACAGTGCTGCATTTAAAAATAATAGCAGAAGTATAATATTGACAATATACATATTGACAAGAAAGTCAATACAATGTCAGTGTTTAGGTATTCTAAGTAATTCTGAATATATTTACCTGATGAAACCCTAGATAGTCCACAATTGTTGATGATGCATAGAATATCATTCCATCTGCACTCACCACCAAGGCAAAACCATTCAGTGACTGAAAAACGAAAATAAAATACTTTAAAAGATAATCAGAAGATAAAGAATAAAATTAGTATCAATGTAATAATTTTAAGAATATCCTAAGAATTAAAAAACTCACTCTGCAAAAGTTGGCTAAATTCTTTCCTACCCTGAAAAGTGAGTAACTTGGAAAATTCTTTCTTTCTTTTCTAAAAAAGTTAAAATATTTAATGACAGTATATTGACCATATTACATTACTAGTTTATTGTCTGCTTAATTGTCTGCATGATTATATTTGCTCATTAATTCATAGAATTAAAAGTTTAATAGCAAGTGTCAACTACTTTCTTTTTCTTTTTAGTTTAAAATTGCACATTCCATAATAATTGCTTTGAATATATATGCATTAATACATATAATATAATAATATCCAAAGGGAAAATTAAATACATGTGCTATTTTAGCCATGACTCTAAAGCTGGATTTGTATTTTTTTGTATGGTTTTTTTCTTAAGCTGCTATAAAAATACATACATAACATAATTGCATAAATGCAATGAATATAAAAAGTCAGTCCTCATGCTGCACAAGAACGGACTAATTCTGCCTCTCTTCCCTTGATAAAGGTTTGGTAACATATCTTTACTCCAACAGGCTTGCACTTCAAGGCAGTCTAGATCCTTTCATGTGGTGGTTTTGAGGTCTTAGAGATTACAGTTCAAATAGCTGTTGCTGAAATACTGCTATATTATTATTATCCTTGCTTCACCTTACTCTCAATGTGCCTATTAATCCTGAGTTAATCCTGAAACACAGTGAGGACAGATTTTCAATTGCTCAGTAACCAGATACACTGACATATGAGCTTGGTTCTCTTTTTGGTTCCTAAATAAGGACCAGATTTCCAAGACTGCTTGAAAGCTGTTCCCACTGTGACAATGGTGGGCAGAATTTCAAGAGTTCAGTGCACAATAGACTGACCTCCTCAGAAGGTTTGGCTCCCATTAGAAATATGGAGCACCTTTGGAAACGTGGCCCTGTGGGACCACACTTGGCCAGAGGCTCTGTGCCTTGAAGAACCTGTGAAACAATAACTTAAGAAAAGTAGTGGAGAGCCTTCAATGGCTGTAGCAACAAGCGATTCAGCCAGGTCAACACTAACCCTCTGTCAACGCTAAGAACAGTCAATGGCAAATCTTGTATCACTCCAGGTCAGCTACATAGGTGCAGAACCTTCACAGAATAAGAGTGATCTCTGCCTAGCTGTGCTTGTGTTGAATACTAATTATCCTTATCAGCTCTTCAAGCACAAGGACTTGCTCAGTTGGTGCTATTTCCTACTCTAAATAATGACCAAATTTGTCCCAGCTCCTCACCAACCAGAAGATGGTATGTAAAGATTCCTGCATCTTCACTTCTCACTGCACTGAGAGGAACCTCCATGGATGGTATTGTCACATACATTTCCAATGTCAAATGGAGACAAGAAAGCATTTTTGGCATCTTATCTCTTTGGACTCATCTTCATAACAATGAAACCATCAGTGATGAGATGTTAGGAATTTTATTACATTTTAAACATCTGGCAGGCCTTTTAATTTGGATAGACTAAAATTTTCCATAAAGATAGCTGTGGGACACTTAAGGGAGCTCCCTCTTTTCTGTGCCTCTTACCAGGCATATTCTGAATGACTTCAAGTCCTGCCTATGAAACTGGACCAGGAAGAAGCTAAGAATATTTTAAAAAATTAAAGAGATGTTCTTAATTAAATAAAAGTTCTTAAGCTATGCAAACTACTACACCAAGCCCTACCTTCATTGTTTAAGCTTCAAAGACCACAAGATCTGAATATTATCAAAGAATCCTACACATTATCGTGCTGAACATCCTTAAAATGTACCCTCCATTGTCCTGCAGGCAAGATGGAATTTTTCAGCCCTTGTAGGAATGTTTGCTTTTGTCAAGGATTGCTTATCAATAGATCAATTCATCTATTCAAAAAATTAGTCATCTTCAACATATTGGTACATACTCTTTAGGCTTAGACACATACAGAAGAGATCAGTCTCTACCCTTAAAATGTGAGACTTCATCCCCCACAGTGGAAAGCAGAAAGGTTTTTCTTTACACATCTTTTTCCGCAGAACTAAAGTCAGGCTGAATTAGGTGCAGCAGTTTCTAACAATTGGAAAGGGAAATGGGACTATGTGCATTTCCAGGGATTCAGACCAGTGTATTGGCAACTACATCTGTGAGGTTGGAGGAGGCATTAATAAAGAGGTGGGAGGGAGGAAGAGGGAAGAAGTGGAGGAAAAGTTCAAGGAGCCATGTATTTAGGTTAAGCCAGAAACAAGTGTGGATTTGAAGCATGTATGTAAATGAAGAGATTTCCAAACTTCCCCTGCTTTGTTTTTGGTTTGTTCTCAAAATGCTGGTGTCCTCTCCTGAGGTTATATCTCTTAAATAAGCACCCCCTGTTTTTCACTACCCCAGCTGCAGACATCAGATGCTTTACCCTGCAAGCAGGGACAGCAAAATTCACTTTGTTGCAAAAACAACTTTTATGGAGCCACATGACTAAATTGAGTAGTAACACAAATTCCATGTCTCTAAATTAATTTTAGCTGGGAAATCTACTGCCTCAGACACATTAAAAAAAGACAAGCTGGATATCAAGCAAAACTTTACACCAGTGAGTCTCATGCACGCCCGCAAATTCTTCTGCTTTCTCAATATTACCCTAAATTGTAGTTCAGTGGGAAAACAGACATCTATAATACAGATGACTCAAAAGAGTCAGAGCTGGGCTGGGATTTATTCTCTTATGTACTTACCACAGGTGGGGTTAAGGAGGAGGGTGTTTGCTAGCACATTACCCACCCTGAGTGGGTAATGGTGATTGCAAATCAGTAGGGAAATACCTTTTCCAACCTCTCAGATAAATCTCTCAGGTACCAAATACAACTCCGTACTGAAATCCTTTACAGTAACATTGCATAGAAGTTTTTCCGTTTTTCTGGCCAGAAGTCTACTGACTTGTTAGACTGAGTAGGAGAGACAGCTTCAGTCCATGAGAATGAGTGAAAACTATTCCCAGCTTTTTTGTTCTAAGTTACTACATCTCACATTAAACATTACAACAAAGTATATGGCTCCACTTATGATTTTTAAACATTCTTAGTTATTGAAATAAAATTCTCTGCAATAGCTTTCTCTTATTCTCAGTGAAGAGGAGGTGTGCAGTGTCAGAACCCCATCAGCCATGTGCCTGGGAAATGGAAAACCCAGGGAGATGAAACAGGAAAGAGGATATGGACCAGCCTCATACCTGTGCAGTTCTCACTTCCTAATTAAAGCACGTTTGCCCTAAACACTGAGGGGACAGCACAGAGAAATAAAGGCTCTTCTCATTTCAATTTAATCCTCTCAGCAGAAATAATCAACAGCCTAAATGGAGCTCTGGTATTAGAGGGGGAAATAACCAAACTTTACAACTCAGTGTTGGTGGTATTTGTTTTGTGTACAACAAGTGTGTTTCAATCAGTACAGTCCACTTGCATACTAAATTTTTTTTCCAATATTGTATTCTTACACATGCACACATAGAAACAAACACACGAAAATATTAGTATGGACCTTAAAACTTCTACAACAAAAAAGAACTAACTTCAAATCTGCAAAAAATATATGGTTTTAAGCTGCCATTTGGTAAACCATATGGATTCAATGACAGATGGAATTTCTAATCCAGGATAATAGCTGAAACATGTGAGACAGACTTAAGTATGTATTGTGAACATTTGTTTGTTTGTATTTGGCTTTTTTAAAAACACTTACATGAGTTTTCTACATTGTACTTTAAAAATGAAATCATGTGAGACGTTTTTCTCAAATGAAAAAAAAGAGGAGAGCTTGGCACCAGATAGGGGCCTGTGTTCTTTTGAAAAAAACATGTACATCCAATTATGTACTCACGAAAAGCTGCACCTGCTACTGAAACAAAAAAAACAATTAATCTGTCAGTTCAAAGAAAGTATGATATTATTCTGGTGCCTGCAGTAGCTGTGAGATGAAAGTTATCAGTTCCTTCCATTAAGAAGTTTTTGAAACTTTATTAGTCAAGAGATTCTCTTTGGGAATGAAGGCAAATATTTTGAGGAAGATAGGACTTCCTTTGGCAAGATCCTTTATATATCCTGATTTTTTTTTCCTGGTCTCATAGCAGAAAATCAGCCAGAAAATACTTCAAAGATATTTTGGTCAAGGTCATGGCATAGTAAAAATAAGGAGGAGGAAAAAAATAAAAAGAAAGAGAATGAGTTCCAATGCACATTTGTCTTATTACTCTTCCTTGAAATAAAGGAAAATTCACTAGCATTAGGTCTCCAGAGACCATGTTACTATGGCTACTAAAGTACAACAGTCAAGGCCTGCAGCCATGCCTTGCTTTGAACAGATTTTTGAGTCACGCAACTTGGGTACTAAATTTCCAGGGTCAGTTGGCTCACAGTTTAGCTGGAACAGCTTCATTTAATAGTGGATCACTGAGTTTTTGCATCCTATGTGGGATGAGGCCATTTTCTGGTGATCTAAATAAGTAGCTATTTAAAAACTCTGGAAATTCTATACTTGCTCATGTCTTATGAGTATTAGGAAGAAAATGCAGACAGTTAATTGTGTCTTCTGTCTTAAACGGAATTGTTTAGTGAATCAGTATTTCTTTCCACTGGTGTTTTTAGGACTCATAGTTGCCCTTCTCAAAAATCCCTCTAAACCCATGAGGTTCTCCTTATAAATAAAACAAAACAAAACAAAACGCCAAAAAACAAAAAACAAACAAACAAACAAACAAACAAAAGAAACCAAAACTCTTACAGAGCCCTGAAGTAAAAAACAGCATAAAAGACTATTCAGAAATACCATATCTGGTGACATCAGAATATGGCCTTTGCTCAACAAGTACAGTATCTCTTAGCCCTCTGGACTATCTATCTACAAAGCAACTTCAAAATGAGTATCTCTGTGAGTAAGC